AAGGCGGTCATATGAACACGCTTGTTTCACTTCTCATAGATATTTTAGTTCTACTTCAATGCTAGCCAACCATTAATCAACAACATGAATCACTGTTTTTAACCAAACGTTTAGTGATCCCATCCTGACAACACAGGAGAACTCAGAGTTTCAATTCAACTGTTGATTGGATGAAACGTATATATCTTGCCACGTCAGTGAAGGCTTTAGGCTTGATATATCCATCGTTTTTGCTGCACTAGTGGTTAATTTTTATGAACAGTAGGCTGACAGAAAAGGGGGGTATGAGAGACTGGAGAGACATGCGGGAAAGGACAACAGGCCGGAGTCGAACCCGGGTCGCCTGCGTCAAGGACTGAGGCCTCTGTATATGGGCCATGTGCCCTAACCACTGTGCCACCAAAGCATGTTCAGACTTCATATTATTTATGAACAAATATCCAGCAAAAAATAATTTCACATGTTAAGAACACTGGAATATCAGATATCAAATCCCCGATATCTGATCCAGCTAATTAGTTCATATCTGAGCTGTTAAAAGCTGTTCTAGTTCTGAAGCATGGTGTTTGCAGCATCATGCTGTGGGATTGCTTTTAGAACACACCTCTAAAAGCTCTCTGAGAATCACCTTTGAAAGACTTCAATCACTAATAATGTATTCCATTTCCCTTAACATAGTTTTTTTTATATTCTGTATTTAAATATTTTGCCTTTAATGTTTTATTTTAAGAGCAGTGTATGCAGGTTGGTCATGACCTAGGCTGCTTTGTATTTTTATCAACAGCTAGAGTTGTTCTGTAACAACTCTAGCTATTTTTTTGTTGTTTTTTTAACTGAGCTGTTTGGATTAGAATAGACATCGGGTCTTATAAACAAACAGGAGGTGCACAAAGGAGGAAGTATATAAAGTGCATCCGGATATATGCATTGGAAGGGAAAAATAAAGGAGAGATTTAAGGTGACATATATATAGTTACTTATGTACAGTGAAGAGGAGACAGGTAAAGTGTGGTTACTGGTTTGTTAAATAGATAAATAGTTGTTACTACAATGTTATAACACCAGGTTACAGTGCAATGGCATTGTAAAGTCTGATGGCAGCAGGGATGAATAACCTGCGCTAGCGCTACATTTTACACACGGGGTGTATAAGTCTGCCACTAAAGGAGCTGCTCAGCTCCTCTACAGTCTGGTGCAAGGTGTTGTCAATGATGGATGTAAACCTGGACAGCACCCTCCTCTCAACCACTTCCTCCACCGAGTCCAGAGCAGACCAGGATAGAAGTGGCGCTCCTCACCAGCCTCTTTCTGTCCCGCTCTGCGCTGCCTCAGGCCCAGCTGACGACAGAGTACAGGAGGGCTGATGCCACCCCCAAAGTTATTTCTTTTCCATTTTTATAATTTGACCCAGTGAAATGCGGGACATTGTTTAAATTTGTGCGTGAAACATGCAATGCAACCAGTGTGACACTGGAAAACAAAACAAAAAAACAGCTAATCAGGGCTTACAGTAGAACTGCCTCAGAACGACTGGTTTTAAAGCTGGTTTACATCCCAAAGTCGTTGGATCGAACTTATTCAAAATGTACGGACTATGTTTAAAAGCTGGAACAGTGTCAGGAGACACACCAATGTAAATTAGCCACTATTGTCAAAATGAGGGTTTAAACATCGAGCAATAAGGATGCAAGAATCGTATTTATTGCTACAAAGCCTGTAGTTGAGTTGAACTTGCAGTAAGACATTCAAGCTAATATTAATGAGGATGTATACATGTTTTCTCTGCATGTATATTTTTAAGCATGTAAAAAAAAAAAAAAAATTATCAAGTCAGGGCTTAATTAAAAATCTGATATCTTGCAACACTTGTAGGTATGTGCATTTAGTTTATTTTGAATATTTCATTCAGCGGTCCAGACCTAAACATTGAACTTTGTAGTGAATCTGTGAAAATGTCCGAGCTCTCCTTTCCTATCATCAGCACAAACAAGAATTATTCCTCTGTCATCTGTAAATAAAGCAAATGAAGGTTAGCAGGTTTGGCCTGTCACACAGCTACAGGCGGTTTTGGCCTACTAGAGCTTTGGACCTGAACGAGAAAGAAACCAACAGCACTCCTCCTGCTGCCATACAGCCAAAGGTGTCAGTCTCATATGACCGAAAATATCCTGCTTTTGTGCTCGTACCGTTCCAGTGAAAACATGGCAACAACTGTTTTCATACATGATTTTTTTTTCAGCAAGATGTGAGAAAACAAGAAAAAGAGTAAAAACTCATGGATTCATTGAAGGGACTATAGACACGTATGTCTCAGATACTCATGAAGCTAATTATTTTAGGGAAATTCTAGTCCATTAAAATCCACATTACTAAATGAAGATACTATAGCATAAATAAAACAAAGGTAGGGCTGGGTATTTTCGCCAAAGTCCTGAAATGATTTGATTTTATTAATTTTGATTCAATCTCTTTTTACAATAGTGAAAGTGGTTCAACTGTGTTTCAAAATACGCATGTATTTTATTTTCTCCTCTCATATTAAACACGAAGTGCAAGCTTGTAAATCAGAAAGTTTAAAGTTGGTATGTGAACAAAACTGTCTCATAAGTGCAAACTTGTTTGTGAAAAGTGAAAAAGGGAAGCCTCACTCACTCAGACATGCATGAGCTGCATTACCTCCAATGCACAAACCATATTTGCAGCGTTGTCTGTAACAACTACAGGGTGTTTGCTGGTCAGCCCCCATTTGTTAATGTGTTCAGTCAACCTATTTGCTATTTTTTTGCAGCTGTCTGGCTTGAAGTAATCTTGAGTGCATCTTTGCTGCTCATTTGAATGTGAACGTCACGCGTGTCACTATAAAACTAAATGTAAAGGAATAGATTCAAAATCATTTTTGTTTTTTTTACCCAACCCTAAAAGAAGGTATTCTTAAAGAAATATGCTACTCAAAGACATGTCCATTATCTGCACTCAGTCCTTGGTTTGAGCTCTATTAGCTCGAAATGCATTAAATCGGCATAGCAGGGAGGCAATCAGCATGCGGCTCTGCTGAGGTATAAAGCATCTTCTATGTTCTTCTATAGTTGCCCTCGGGTTGTCTGCACTGTTGGGTCATTGGTTTTTCAGTTTCATCTGGACGATACTCCATGGATTCTCAGTGGGGTTCAGGTTTGATCAGTTTGTCTGGGTTTCCTGCTGAAAAATGAAACCATAAAGCCCTTTAAGCAGTAGGAAGCATTCATTTAAAGTTTCCATGATTAGATTGTGCTTATTTATTCTCATGTCCAGCATTTTGAAGGATCTTCCTGCTTCAATTTGCTCTATGAATAAACTTGTCTTGCCTTGCCTTTGGACTCATTAAAACACAGAGGACGGACACCAGCCCATGAGCCAATTCCCAAATCATCACTGATGGAAAAATGGTTACAATCTCTATCTTATTTATTGCGCTTCTCCATCCCCTTCCATTCTTTCGGGCCTTTCATGTTTACATATAATGCAATATTTACTTCTCCTAAAAAATATATATATATATATATATATACATATCTGAGCAACAGCCCCATCCTTTTTCTCCTACGTAGAAACTCATTATGGCAGAAGTTGCTTAACATGAAAATCTGACATCTAAAATCTATGTTCTAAATACACCACATTGTGGTTACTCTGTAGTGACTCTGCTGATATTAAAACTAATTGTTGGGTTTAGTTTTACAGTCTTCTCATGGCAGCAGTTATTCCCATGTAATATGCAGGTTCTGGCTGCGGTGTGTCCTTCCACTAAACTTTCCAACTCAAATTGGCACCCTATGTGGGCAATATGCAATTACACACTATTAAGGTAGGTTATTATATTTGAGTTGCCTGGGATTCACACTCATGCCTGTTAGTCTTGTCAACCATTCACTGATGCCAACAGCTGTTAAACGTTTGCCCTGAGATGCTAAAGCTATCTAGCTCCAACCAGATTTGCTGGTTGGAACAAAAACATCCATTGCATATTTTACTGCTTTTCTGCAGTGTTGGGTTGCACAACAGATGTCTTCATTAGCAATGACCTTTTTTTTTGCTTACCATGACCTTGGAGGGTTTCATTGACTTTCTGCTGGACAGCTCTAAAATCAGTAGTCTTAGGATGATTTTGAAGGCTTTCCATTATATTTGAGTAGTTTAAAAGTTTTTTAATTATAATTAAATTTATTTTTTTCCCCTTTTATGTGGGAAACCTTTAAATCCTCCTGGAGAACCTGGAAAATGCTGCAAAGAAGAGGAATGTCTAAGACTTGACCTCTAAAAAGCCCTTTTATCACATGTGACAAAAATGTTTTTATCCTGAAAACAATAAATGTATTTTAATGATGCTGTAAATCCTAAGTTCTGACTTAATTTCTTACTTTTTTTAACTGTTCTTTTCAATGCATTTTATTATAAAATAAACACCATCACTGTTTTTTATCCAATTAGTTTCCCGAAGAAGTCTATTTAAAATGCTTTATAGAGCCATGGTGTCTAACCTGAACTGCATAACAGTCTGCGAACAAGATGTTAATAGTTTTTTACTCAAATCTTTTTATCTCAATAAATAATTAAATCAATAGATAAACGCATCGTCCACCGCTGGATGAGTTCATATTTTTTTGAGTAAACTCGAAGGCTGGCCCGGTCTTAAACATACTCAAAACCTCTTTGCCTGCATTTTCCTATTTCTAGGAACTCTCTTCCTCTTTTAGATTCAGAAATGGGTGCACACCTTTTGTTCCAATAGAGTTCAAATTAGTTAATTCAAATAAGAAAGTGGGAAGAAAAAAAAGGGGGAGTGGCATCTCGATGTGGGTTAGATAAACTAGCACTTTATCTTGTGTTTCTTTTGGAGTATTCTTCTGACCAGTTATGTCCGGGTTATTCAAGGTAGTCAAAGTGTTAAGAAACCACACTGATGCTTCACCATGGAGATCACTGCTACAACAGATTTATTTCATGCTTTATTTTTGCAACAGGAAGAAGCTGGGAGAATTGAAGAAGAGGGCGTAGTTCCACGCAGCAGTGGGACCCCGACTGCAGCTCAGGGTGCGTAGATGGAGCGCATCCACTGGCTGCGGCATCGGTGTCGGCAGCTGCTGGCTGTAGACTCGGAGACAGGCTGGTACTCGCCACCTGATGGCCTTCCCAGCAAAGACTCCCCTCAGAGGGGCAGCGGAAAGAGGAGGACGGTGTTCGCCCGTTATGGCCCCCATCAGGAGGAATATGAAGCCGTGTCCAAAAAATATAAGGGTAACGGCATCCGCACAACGAAATACAGCCTGTTGACCTTTATCCCCATGAACCTGTTCCAGCAGTTCCACAGGTTAGTAACTTTTAGATATAGATATGATAGTAGGCTGAAGGCATGAGATAAAATGTCAATCAAACAAGCTACATCAATGCTACCATGCAACTATAAAACACAGGATGCTGCAGAAATGATAAGATGTAACATCTAAATGCAGTTGAACACGCAATGTGAAAAAGCAGTCACTTTAAACAAGATATGATTGCAGATTAGATATACCTAGAACTCGTTGAAAGCTAGCAAATGTGCTCACTCTATTTGTAAATGGAGTGCATGACCACTCTGTCATTTTGGTGGCTTTTTATGTGGGATATCATTCTCCAGACACTTCCAGTAGCTTCTCTGGGGAAGTCCTGAGGGGTTTCAGGACCAGCTGTGACATCTGATCCTTTCAGCTTGTCCTGGGGCGTCCTCTGGGCCTCGTCTTGTTAAGATGTGTCTGGAAGATGTCCATGGGGCTTCTGAAACAGATGTCCGAGCCACCTTAGTTGACTCCATACTCGTATCTGAAAATATAATGAGCTGTTTCAGATCATTTTGAGCTAAGCCATAAGGCCAATTGCTGGTTAGAAAAAGTAATCAAAATTCCAGCAACAGATTGGACTTCTGAATGGAATTCCTTACATCCTCTCCAAGGCATACCAAGCGAAAATGTTGAAGAAGCATGGATGCATTTTGGCAACAAATGAGTGTTGGAACATAGATGGAACAGCATATTCAGAGCTTTATTAGTTTTTTCTGTTTCCTTTTTCACCATGACAGATCAGAGCAATACTAACTGTCCCACTAAATCCTGTCAGCTATCTGAATTGAGACATTTCTGTACCTCTAATCCCCGGGTAGGCTCCACCCTAAGCCTGGAGGAAGCATTGCACATTTGATCGAAGAAGGCTTTAAATTTTGTGAGAACGCACACAGATGAGCTATTATCATTCTTAAGTAACTAGTTTTTTGCAAGTTAAGAATGGAAAATGTACCCAAGAGAACTGTGTCACCCTCAAAAGGGCACACGAAACCTGCTGGCCCTCAAACCAGACTTTCTCCGACCTTTGACTGTGTCTTGAAATGCAGACCTTTGCTTTGCTGGTTCAATGTTCCACAGCAGAAAGAAAACTACACTACTCCTCCTGCAGCCATGATTCAACAATCGGCCTGAAATGTCCTCTCCAGGACCCTGGTATAGATATTACTTAAACCACCACATCAACGTAGCGGAAGGGTTTTCAATGCTTGGATGATCCCAGAGGCCATGTTATCGAGGACTTAAATGTCCCCCGGGAGGGTCTCCCAAAGCAAACAGGCTCAAGGCGACCAGTCAGACAAAGAGCGGTTCACAATTTATGACGTTCTCTTTTCAGGCCTTTTAACAGAATTCTTCCAAGATGGCATTGTGTTTAGCTTTGTAAATTTTCCAAGTAGGCCAGAAATCCATTATGTACATTGGCTAATGTTGCAAGTTTGCAGTTGTACTAAACTGTCATTATTTCAGATGATGGATTGATAGATTATCTGGGTTATGAACAACCTACTCTCTGACCTGTCTGCTGGGTTCTTCATGATGCTGTTTGGTAATCAGCATTTTCTGAAAAAAGTCAGAGGCCTTTGTAAATCGAAGCAAAGGGAATTGAAAATCCACACCAAAATTTTCAGATTTATATTTGTAATAGATACAAAGTAGGTATGAAATTCTTGCTTAACCATGTTCAGTCCGACTAAATGATTCTTATGAAGTTTCAGTCTGAAAAAATCTACTTACTTCCTTGTTCCTTTTCTAGATGTTTCATAACACTTTAATATTTAGTTTATTGGGTTAAAAGTTCTGAAATATATTTTTATGATATGGTTCTGAATGTTTCCTCAGATTGTAAATTTGTTGTGATGTTTTAAACCGGCAACCCTCTCCCTGATGGTCCTGCTCACTTGTTTTCTACTCTGGTCTTCTCAGGGCGGCCAACCTGTACTTCCTGTTCCTGGCACTGCTTAACTGGGTGCCAGTTGTGGAGGCCTTTGAAAAGGAAATCACAATGATTCCTCTGCTGGTGGTTCTCACGGTTATTGGCATTAAAGATGCACTGGAGGACTACAGACGATACCTGTTTGACAGGAAGGTCAACAACAAATTGGTGCGCGTGTTCTGTGGGTGAGTGGAATCCTGCTACAAACTGGTAGGAAATCGGAAATTACCGGTAGAAAAGTAAAATCAAAGGGTTTAAAAGGAAAGTTTAATGGTTAGAAGAGAAAATGAGCTGAAACGGAACTTGGCTTACTTCATTTTATTGTTTGTCACAGCAGGAAAAGAACTAAACAATGGTTGGCTGAAACTGGAGCTTTAAGGCCTGAAGTTGACCTTTACTTTCTGGCAAAGTTGGTGGAAGTGACTGGGTTTCATAAGAGTAACTCATGACACAGCGACTGTATGTTCTGCAAAAGGCTACATGATGATTAGCCTTATCTAATCTAGTGGGTAAACACATAGAACTTGCAGATCTAGAATGTGTAAATATACATGGTAATTAAAAGTTTTTAAGATATGGGTCAGAAAATACAACATTATGCAAAAGTTGAAGGTTCAGAATTAGAATATTTGAGCTTTTGTTGTTTAACCCTTTAAAACCAGGAAATAATTGTCAGAAAATTCCTTTTTCAAACTTAATTTGTTATTGAAAAAACTGACAAACAACAAAAAATTAAATTGTCTGTTAATTACATGTGTCTGATTGCATAAATCAGGTTTTTGAAGAACACAAACATTACACTGATATTGCAGGGGTCTCAATATATCAAATTTGATAAACTATGTGTTAAAGGGTAATAGAAAAATCTAATTAGCTGTTAAACACTGTTTTGTCTGCAGACTGACTTAAAGGTGTTGTAGGAGATCTTGGAAAAACCGTTCCAGCAAGCTATATTTTTGAACATACACAACCCTGCCTCTCCCTTCAGACCACCCCTCAAAACCACGCCTGCAAAACACATGAACCTGCATGCTTTCTGCAGCGCAGGTAGAGCAGCAGGAGCAGTGTGTATAAGCAGCTAAAGAGGCCTTTGGAGCTGGCAGGGAGACAGGCAGCACTGATGATGCAGAGCGCTATGATCACTTCTCTGAAACATTTTACTAACGCCTAAATTAACTTAAAATGCCAAAATCTGCCAGCAAAACATGTTTGCTTTTATTATCCTATAATGTTCATGCGTCAGGGTACGCTTACAGGGGGGATGGACAAGCAGAAGACCATGGTTGACGTGTCAGGAACCAATCGTGTACAACGGCGCGATTGGTTCCTGACGTCTTTTGTGATTGGTTGGGGTTATTAATTGATTTCTCACTGTAGCAGGGACCATTTATTTTAGTTTCATTTCCAGACCATCTATTTTACTGCTTGATAAGCGGCTGTTGGGAGATATTTAAGCCACATGGTAAAAAATGCGTCAGAAAAGATCTCCTACTACACCTTTAAGTTGAATTTCTGCTTACTTCAGGTAAGGTACCAAATAATAAGGAATGGCTTTGTACCAGATTCTCACATTTGATAGAATAAAAAAAAAAAAAAAAAAAAAACAGTATTATTTCAGTCTTAGGAAAGCAAAAGAAAGAATTATAGCAAAACATATAATATATTCCATATTACATGGCTGAATGTTTCCATTGGACTAACCCGAAGGTTGTAGATGTTTTACCCCAGGCTTTGAGTTTTTGAACACTTGCCTGGCCAGAGTCCATTGTTGCAGGACTTTCCTGTAACCTTTGTGTTAAGAAAGTGCTACTTCTCTTTGCATGCATGAATCTGCATACTAACTACAACTCTCTCCACTTTTCTATATGTTGACAAACCTACTTCAAGATTTGTACCACCACTTAAAAGGCTGGAGTGAGAAATTTAGTGCCTTACTGTTGTTAAATACAGTGTGACTAAAAATGTGTGCTTCTGTGATCTAAAAAATTTTGTTGAACTGTAAATGCAATTAATTCCCCAGCCAAAATAAAATAGTTACTTTTCTTTATAACGGCTGTTCTCTCAAGTTATAGTTTGCCAATTAAATTTTTAAAGAGTGTTGTCTTATTAAAGTTGATGAATGGGGCTCCATTAGTTTCCACACACTGGGATTTTTTTTTAGACTGCTTTTGTGCCCAATCCACCTTTCCCAATGACTGCGGTCCTGCAACTCTGACCTTAGCCATCATGAAGTTTTTGAGGAGATACATCCAGGACATCATCCCTGCTTGTCTGGGCAGGCTGTAGTTTACTTATGGAGAATCGTCCTACAGAGGATACTGTCTTTAGCTGTCTCTTGGCTCTGACTCATCTGCAGCATACTGAGACCTACACTATGGAGATGCCTTTAGAGTAATTTAGTTAAGCCTTTAACATTTTCCTTCCAGACATGCTGTCCCTGACGCTCTAAAGCCTGGGTTTATCTGCAAAACTCTGCTTCTGGGTCAGTCAATTCCTCACCAACAGGTGGTGAGGATAGAGATCCTCCTATCCGACCTACTGATCCTCAACACATACCACAGGACTGTGTTCGTAGCCCTCCCTTCTTCACTCTCTTTACACACTAATGCTCTGATATCTACAAAATAAATATGGTTGCAGAAACCTCTCTGATGGACAGGGCCTGACATCAACAAATGGGTGTATTTCCGTAGTGGCAGCTAACACAGCCTTCGAATAGCTACTCTGGCAGGTTGAATTCTGTAAGGACTTCTAGAATTGAATTTGAATTTGGAAATTCAATTTTTCAAATTACATCTGAATTAATAAGCAAATTGAAATCCGACACTATAACTCTCATGAGTACTGCCTGTGCTCACTGATGGCCCATTTGTGACCGATGACTCTTCCAAGAGCCAATAATGAACAGGAAATACTACAGCCAGCTATATTGTCGTGGCGGGACACAAGCAGGACCTCCTCATTGCCTAGAGAGGATCCCTGTGTGACTTCACCTATCTCAGAAGAAAGTGCTTGCAAAAGTACAGACATAAAATGGAAGGAGAAAATTTTTTGGCTTTCTTTCGCAAAAAGAAATTCCACTGTAGACACATCAAAACAGAATCTCAAGCATCAGTCTTTCATACCCCAACCATCCCGTTAGACTAATGGTATCAAACATTATAATTGTGGCTGTACTGTACACTGGTGGTGTTGCTTACTGACAGCATAAAGTTACTGGGCATTCACATTTCCTCTGACCTCTTCTGGACTGAGAACCCCTACCTGATGAAGAATGCCCATCAACAGCCTTGCTTTCTCAGGAAGATGAAACAGACTGATCTCACTGCTAAGCTGTTCATAAACCTTTATGAGGCCATAATTTAAAGCATTCTGTTACCTCAGTGGTGGTATGGGAGCTACACAGCAACGTGCTATTCAGAAAAGGGATAATAAAGCTATTAAAAGACATTCTATTAAATTTTATGTAACGCTGTCTAAAGTTGATTCGGCACAGAGGTAAAACACTAAAAATAAATGCTGCAGGGATGGTGAAGAATAGGACAGTGTGGTATGCTTTCTACCAGATCTAAATAAATGAAATAAATGTAAATTTATTGATCTCACAATGGAGAAATTAACTCTCTGCATTTAACCCATCCCCTTTGGGGAGCAGTGGCTGTAAATGTTGAACCTTGAACTTGCTCTGCGGAGGAGTGGCATTGAAGTGTGTCATCTGTGCCAGTCACATTCCTACCTTTTCCTTGTTCGTCTATGCCTTTGCAGGATGTGGCGAACTGGAAAAAACAATCCGATAACACTGGAAGAAGTCCAAACCATAGGTAGGAATTACTGTTTGGACGGGAATTTTAAGAAAATGGGGAGAAGCCTGTATTTGTAAACCTTTAAGTTTGAATCGACCGCTGCAGTGGACTAATGTATAGCTTGGAACGAATGCCTGGGATGTTTAAGGACCATCTGAAGAAGAGAAGGACTGTTGTACCTTCATTCACTGAGGATGATGAACTGAAACGACTTCTGAAGTTGTACAAAAGCAACAGAATCCGGACCACAAAATATTCCTTTTTGTCCTTCCTTCCCAAGAACCTGTTTGAGCAGCTCCATCGATTCGCTAATGTCTACTTCATCTTCCTCGCTGCATTAAACTTTGTCCCGGTGGTGGAAGCCTTTGAGCCAGAAGTTTCTCTGATTCCAATCTGTCTGGTACTAACATTTTCAGCAATTAAAGACATCTTTGAAGACTACCGCAGGTTTAAATCGGATTATTTAATAAATAATCTCTCATGTCAAGTTTACTGCAGGTAAGTTTCAACTGTTCCTCAAACTTTAAGTAGATTTGCTGTCGTTTGTTTGTGTCAGGAGCTTCCAATGACTCCCTTAATTTGAAGTTAATTTTAATTATGTAAAGACAATAAAAAACATTTCTATGTCGTGTTAATACTATAAGCTTAATTTAGTTGGCAAATGGTCATAAGATAATCTTAAAAAACAAAAGTTCAAGTAATGGAAAACATTAAGAGGTTTAATTTCTATTTGGAAGGAAAAGCTTTGAGGTGCAATTTAACATAATGCAAAATGTTGATGTCCTGGATCCTGAATATAATTGTATTTTTCTAGTATTTTAAGATATATATTAAGCTATAGTTTTTTTAGGAAGTGATAAGGAACAGCAAGAGAACAGATATTAAAACCATAGAAAAAAATTCTAATAGACAATTTATAATACTGTTTTCAGTAGATCAGGCAACAATGTTAGAAGACAGAAATACTGGAAGAAAATCTATCTTCAAGCTGTGCCATATTCTTAAAACAATAAACGCTACACATAAAGCTGTTTATTAATTTGTTTAGTGAGAGTGACTTTTACTAACTGCCATTTCTATAGATGTTAATGCTGAGAAAGCATGACTGACTAATTATACTAGTTATAACACAATCAAATTGTGTATATATATATATATTTTTATTATCTTAAATGGCATCTTGCCTTTTGTACTCTATATAAGCTACTGGAACCAGAATTTCCCTGAAGGAGTAATCCCAAGGGTTAAATAAAGTTGAGTCTAAGTATAATTCTAAGTTTAAATGAGCATAGAGGCAAGATGCATCTGAGGTAGCTCTCAAGCTTTTTTACACAGAAAAAAACAAAAATTCCAATTTTAGTTCACCTGCTGTCTATCAATGAAGTTTTTTTTTTTTTTTTTTAAAGCTCACAAATATTGGTCAGACTTTTTGTTTTAGTTGGATTTCAGCTTTCCAATGGAGTTTATAACCAATAAATGTTGATAATAATAATTATCGATGAATCAGTTTTTTGATTTTTAATAAACTAACAGTAAATAAGAAAATGTGTGAAGTGTAAAATTGAATAAACATGAATTTCAACCACTTACCGTCTATGCTTAAAATTAGTTAGTAGCGTTCACACAATACTAAAATAGTACGTAAAGTTATTTAAGAAGTCTGTTTTACAAAACAATAAAAACACAAATATAAAGGTTTATATCCTAACAAAATTGTGAACCTTGTTCCACTTGTACAAAAAGAAATTCATTTTTTGAAGGACAAGTAAAAAAATAATTGTTCTCCATTAATAAAGGAGGATCCATGCAAACACATTCAGCAGCTGTCCTGTGATACTTCTGATCTTTAGCGTTGTGAATTGATATTTTATTTTCTGATCATCTACATCACCAGGGGAGGTTTCTACAGGTTCCTTCTTGTTCATGCTTATGTCTTTGAATCAGATATTTATAAATAAGGTGTCCACTTATGCTACCTACTACTATACTGTTGCAGGTACGTGAACTTAACTGAATATTTCAAAGTGTAAGACTAGAATATAATGACAGTGCATGGCAGTTGTTCATACTGCAGTCCAAATAACAGTGGCTGCTTTGTTGTTCAGAGCTACTGTCCTCTATTGTTCAGAGGACAGTACTTCCAAACAATGCTTTTCTTTTGTCGACTAAAGAGGATCTTATACGCTTTCTCTTGGATGCACTTTCCATGTTTGCAGTTTGCATATAAAATTTTTGTTCAGGAGAGTCATTTCAGGGAGGGGAGGGCTGGATGTTTCTGTTAACGGTTTGCATTGTTTTTCATCCACAAGAGAATTATCTAAATATTTATTCTTCTGTGTTTTATATTGAGATGTTTATCACTATGACAACCCATAGTAACAGATATTGCTTCCAGTAAATGGGTTCTGTAAGTTAATTGTTATCTTTCTGATAGTTTCTGATGAATTTTAGATAATTCACCTGCTTCCCTCAGAGCTTGCATTCATTGGTTACTCTTGGATGTTGTTCTCATGTTCCGGGACATTGATATGCAGTGTGCACAGTATTTATCAGCAAGTGCTTACTATTGACTACCCTCTATATTGTCTTATCTTTATGACTGTATATGACAGCTGAGCAATTACTGTCAATCTTCTTGCTGTTCTATTGCCTGAAAAATGGGTCAGAGAGTGGCATTAATTATTTACTGTGGAGCATCTCTAGGGCTGCCCAGTGGCACAGTAGGTAGCACTGCTTCCTTGCAGGTTCTGGGTTTGGTTCCCGGCCTGGGGTCTTTCTGCGTGGAGTTTGCATGTTCTCCCTGAGCATGCGTGGGTTATCTCCGGGTTCTCCGGCTTCCTCCCACAGTCCAAAAACATGACTGTTAGGTTAACTGGCTTCTCTAAAGTCCCCTTACATGTGAGTGTGTATGCGAATGGTTGTTTGTCCAGTTTGTCTCTGTGTTGCCCTGCGATGGAACCTGTTCAGGGTGTACCCCACCTCTCGCCCGTAGACAGCTGAAGATAGGCACCAACACCCTTGTTACCCCGCTTGGGATAAGCGTGTTAGAAGATGGATGAATGGATGGAATATATCTAATAGACTAAATCTTTTGATACGTATTCATTTTTAGCAGATCTTGTCTGATTTCTTTTAACTTATATTTTGTTCCTTATTACCAGATAATGTAGTGTACGTATATGTATGGGGTTCAGCTTGAAGGTGTGACATTGGATGTAGGGTTATTAGTATTTTTGAACATTTATCTGAGCTGCTATGGACCATGTATGGTACCTCCAACCTTGTGAAAATCATCTTATTTTAAAGAAAGAAACAAAAACGAAAGCACAATGCTTTAGATTTTGTTTAGGGTTCCTAGTAAGACAGTGAATCGAAAACGGATAGACCTAAAAAATAATTTATTTCACTAACTGGTGAAGGCAGTAATCCCCCTGTAGTGATCCTTTCACACAGACATGTACACACTCCTCATTCAGACATAAACACCCCTGCTGAAGCCCATACCATCTAATAGACTGCTGGGGCACAATCTGCACTTTATTTAAATACTACACCTTACTGTATATTCCCATGTACAACATTTTCTTCAAAGGGTGTTTTGTATCATGTTTTTTTCTCCCACGCTGTTTACATTTGATCATTGCTGCACTTTATGAAATTGAAATGTTCATTTCACTGTTAAGCTGCTGCTCATTTACTGTCTGAAAGCTGTACAAGCTATCTTAGAAATAAACTTTTTGTTGCAGAAAATTAAACCTAAAACTATACCACCATACTGGCTGTAAAGCAGGAAGGTAAAGGGCTGATGATTAGGGCTTGTGTTTCTGCCTTGAAGTCACTCAGTCGACCTTAGTCGACCAAAGTATTCTGGCTTCAAATGTGTTTTCATCTGAACAACAGCTAAAACTTCCCCCAAAAAAACAGAACAAGGGTTCAAACAGCAGCTTTTCTATGACAGAGCTTAAAATGAGAAGAAGCAATGTGTTCCAGGGGCCTAGTCAAAGTTCAGAATATAACTGGATTAAAATCATCTAATGGAACCTTAGAGGAGCTTTAGGCAGCAAATGTCTGCAAACTCTAATCAAGTGATCCAACATCGGAAAGAAGAGGCGGACAAAATGGCTCCTCTTTGATGTGAGAGACTAATAACAGCAAATTACTTTAGATTCTTAGGAGGTTTTGTCACAGCTGCACGATGTCTTATTCATCTAAGTTTTTTTTTTCTTTTTTCTTTTTTTACCTTTTGGAGATGAAAGCAGTTTTTTTGTCTTGTTGTTAAATAAACTGACATTTTTTTCTCTTCAATGTTTTCTTCCTCTCACCACAGCAAGCAGAATTCCTACGTGGACCGCTGCTGGAAGGATGTACGAGTCGGAGAATTTGTACGTTTGTCCTGTAATGAAATCATCCCTGCTGACCTGCTGCTGCTGTACTCCTCTGACCCCCGTGGGGTCTGTTACATTGAAACTGCAAACCTGGATGGAGAGACCAACCTGAAGTTGAGGAAGGTTGTGTCAGACCTTTCTCTACAGGTAATATTCCCTTTTGATTGACTTTACAGGAACTTTAGCTGGTTGTTGTTTGCAGGTTTGTATTCATATTCCTAAAACTGTTGAAGGGAAATCTGTTCCTTAAAGGTGCTGTAGAGGATTTTTTAAAAGATTCTCCACTTAAAAAAAAAATGCACATGCAAGAGCATGAACGAGTACATTTCTCGTCTTGCACACCCTGTTTAAAATGTGCTGTTCCCATAGCTCATACAAGCTCACTGTGTCCACATACAGCGGGGGCTATATAGTGGACTTTATAGCAAACTCAGTTAACTGCACGTTCAGACAGATGATCAGTGGTTTTTGCTCCCTGTTGGTCAAGTAACTCCTCCCCATTGCGCGGTGCCATCTTTGTTATTAGTCACTACTGTCGGGTAGCAACAGCCTATGGCGACAGCGGGCCGCTGTGACAGCAAATCCCATAATGCTTTGGGAGGAGAGCTCTCTGTGCAAAGCATTCTGGGATAGATCTGCCTCGTCTGAGGGCTTTCTTTTCTCTTCTCGTACACTTTGTGGACATGTTTTCTCATATGACTCTCAGCCATTTTCAAACGAACCGTGGCGAGAAAGGTGAGCTTCAATGACTGTCTGAAACCATAGCACACTACTCTTATCCGGCTGAAACTGCGCATGCGCAGGAAAAGATAGCTAACGGGATGAGCAAGTAGGACGGCCTTACGTAAACATATCACCAGAATGATTGACAATTTGGAGGACCACTCATTTAGATGATCCACCTGGAAATAAAAGATCGTCCTCTTTACCTTTAAGAAAATTTATCTGGGAAGGAAATCCTTTTGGCTGTTTATAAGTGGTAGGAATGACGAGATAATAGTCGTTCTTTTTTATTTTTCATTTGCTGAGGGAACCTAAAGATATACACCTCTGACATCACAGTAATCAAAGTCTGAAGAGGATGCAACATTCTTAATTTCGGTCCAGATTGAGTTTCCTTTCCAGTACACACAACTGCTTATGAAAACTGAAAATGAATGAAGAGTCCTTGAGGAGAAGAGTAGAAAAGAATAGAAATTATATTGACCCACAGCAGGGAAATTCAGGTGTGTCAGTGGCCTCAACCCACCAAAAAGAAAAAACTCCGTTGTCATTAAAAAATGCATACTCAGATCAATTTCAATGTGCAAATCAAGAAAAATGCATGAATCTAAAACAGAAAAGTCACCAAAGTCATTAGACAAAAAAAGAAAAATGGAAAACAACAAAAGGCCCCAAAAAATCCCTTAGATGTCACATGTCCAATTATGTAACAGCTTCATACATGAGGTAGGACAACAGTGATTTTTGCTTTTGGTTCTGTCCTTTTTACCCCTACTGTCTGAAATGTGAACAATTTTTTTTTAAGGAAGTGATCGCTCATGATAAACAACTGAGTTTAATGAAAACATTCTGACAATTTAAACCAGGTCACTGATTTCCTCGAAGTGTCCTGCATTCACAGCTGAACTTTGTCACATTTCATCACATTATTACAGAAACTTGAACATCTTTAATTGTAATAAAGAGCAAACAGGTTGCATGATTTAAAGATTGCAGTTATATTTAGCCTTCCCTCCTGAGTCATTACTCTATCAGTGTCCAGCATTTTCAGCCAACCTTCTTATTTTAGTTCTGAGGTCCAGAGTCAGTCAGATCAAGGTCTGTGCTTTGACTCTGAAGCTCTGTGTTCTCTAATGTTCTTCAGTCCCGCTGATGCCAAAACAAATCATCTGGATATGGATCTAGATCATTTACAAAACTAAACAACTATAGTAACCTCCAGATGGATTACTTGTTCCTTCTAATCAACCTCTTTCTTTCGGGGCGGGGGTTTATTGCTAGCTAAAACAACAGTTTAACGTTTCCGTGACCCATATGTGCTCAGTTTATTAACAGTCAACACAGCCTACTGGATTAGGCTGCTTGCTACACAAACTGTCCAATTTTTTTCTACATCAGTGTTGGATTTAAAACAGCAAAACAAAACCGAAAATAAAAATGAGGATCAAAAAACATAATAATTTAGTTCTTTCATTATTCAATATACATCATTACATTTATTATTTGGTATAAGTTTATCATTTTGAGTTACTAAGAGAACATTTGGATGATATTCCAGTTTATTAAGATGCACCTATATGTTAAATCTGAAACTGTAGCTTTTTTTTTTAATGAGAGACTTTGGTTTGATCCATCTGAGATTTAAGAGAAAATAAAAGATGGTACCAGAGAAGGATAAAGCTGTGTTTATCTGAAGGTTACATCTATGTTTACTAACCATAATGATGTTAAAGTGGCTCATCTGTAGACACAGACATGCTTTGTAACAGCCACCTAGTGGCTGTTCATGATATTTTAAAACTCATTCCTTCAAATTGAAATATTACTTTACTAATTCTGCCTATAAACCACAATTTTTATAAGGAACTCTTTTAGTTCTTACATTTCACACTGAAACCGTTTTTTCATTTGACGTGCATTTCATGTAATGCAGCTGTGATTCAGATGTGAACTCTGATGGCCTTTGATGCGTTCATCTTCCAGGGTGCAGACTTCACTCCGGAGAACTTCACCAGTCGCATCGAGTGTGAGAACCCCAACAATGACCTGAGCAGGTTCAAAGGTTACATGTGAGTTGGATATGTTTGTATTCTGTAGATATTGGATGCCTTAGGCAGACACTGTAAAGAGTATCATCGTGGATATGTATGTAATTTTTATTTTGCATCACAGCGAGCACTCTGGGGAGGGTCGGGTCGGCCTCAACAGCAGCAACCTTCTCCTGAGGAGCTGCACCATCCGCAACACAGAGACTGTGGTCGGCATTGTGGTTTATGCTGGTGAGGCCTCATCACTAAAAGCAGAGCTGCACTTTGCCGAACGATAAAAAAAAACCTATTAAATGCGTCCACATTTTATCAGATTGTAGTCATAAACTTCATTGTATCTTAGTAAGAGATTTGGTGATGCACAAGTAATGTACGCCAACACAGAAAATGTAGTCCATAATAGTGATTTCATGCTTTTTAACGTTTTTACAGATCTAAAAACTGTAGCAGACATTTTTGTTTAATCCCTTTTGTTTTAATAATTATAGTAATAATGATATTTGAACTTTATTCATCTCACACTGGAGAAATTCACTTCTGCATTTAATCCATCGCGCTGGGAGAGTTTGTGGCAGATACTTTTGATTTATGCCCAATATTGAAGTGTGGTCTGCACTATGTTATTCCACACCAGAGGGACAATCATGAACTAGCTGTGGGTCTAGAAACGGCTGAGGTGGTGAAGAAGTTTGGGCAAGTTTGTGCGACGAAGGAGGGACATGAGGGTGAAAAATAGCGGGGATCCAGGTGGAATAAGGCTCCCAACGTTCTTACACACCACGTTCTTCTAGCTTGTCCATTTTCACGATTGGTTTTCCATAATGGCGGTGGACAGGCGCGACAGAGTGTCTGCTGCAGGGGCGGAGGCACTTTTGCATTCACTGCAACACACACACAGACGACCTGGTTTCTGAGTATAAATCAGCATTAAGGGATCAAATCGCGTACTTGCAACCTTCTCAGAGCGCAAGCGCACTGCTCTAACCACTAGCCCATCACCTTCCCATGTAGCAAAAGTTGAATTTCGGTCTCATCTGACCAAAGAAACTTCTTTAAATTAATCTATAGCTGTCACTCAATGATCTTGTCACTCTTTTATTAAGGCCAGATTCCTGGATTACATGTATTGAGGTTGTCCTACATGAAAATCCGATACCATATCACTCCCTGATTAACTGGGTTCCTTGTTCTCAGTGTTGAAAGTTTGTTTGCTTTTTATTTTGCTATATATTTTCAAATGAGTAAAAGGGGCTGAATACAAATACATCCAAACCTTTACAGCTTTTTATATGGGCGAAAAATTTCTATTAGGCTCTATTTTTTGTCAATCTGTCACAATAATCCTAGTACGCTGCCTATAAGTGGTTATAAAATGGTATAATATGCAGGGAATGTTATGTATATGCCAATAGGTTCCCTGGGAAGAGGCATGCGGGTAAAACTTATTTTCTGTCCTGCCATCACAGACATAAACATGAAGGCTTTGCTAAAGTCTGTTAGGAATGTAGCTGGAACCCTGTGCTTTTATTGGACATAACCAACGTGAAGCTTTTAAACATCAAATATGTAATAAAGCAACAGTTAAGTGTAGTGGAGGACCTGTTATCCTGTAGATTTGTTACTCTTTCTAAAACTGAACCTTGTTAGATAAAATGCCGTATTTACTATTAAACTACATTGTGTTTTGGTGACTTTAAAAATAAAACAGGGTCAACGGTTCTTCCAGTAGGGCTATGATTAAAAATGTATTTCCTGTAAGTCAATACATGAATGGTTCATCAAACATGTACAATAAACTTTCATTTCCATTTCAGACAGCATTCTATAGAAAAGCTTTAGTTTGATATTGCATTGTATAATTTTAGTTGTATTTATCTTCTTCTTTTTTTATAGGGCCATATATGTTCTATTTGTGTTTGTGACTTACTTTCCACAGACATCAATCTTAATACATATTGTATTCAGCATCTGACATTTTAATTACATGCTCACTGGTAGGTTGTAGGTTGTAAAACCACGCCTGCTCTGTGGACTGTGTTGTTTTATTCTAAGTGTAAACTATGCTGGTGGAAGCACTACCAGTATCAGATTCAGTTCTGCTGTTGATATACTACTCACTATGACTATAGAGGTTAAACCAAAGCCAGAGCAGCAGCTGTGAATGCAGTGTACACTCTAAACATGGCAGGGGTCACTCAGGGTTGTCATTCACTCTGCGGGCATCAAATGTCTGTTTTGTTTACCCATTCAACCCCTTCCATTCCAATTTAATTCGTTTTCTATAAGCCTGAACGCAGAAAGTCGTGTTGCTCAGATTTTCTGCCCCAAGTTATTGCTTTATAAATGACTATAAACTGATTTTTTGTCATTTTCTCCACTGTTACCTCAGCTCACCTGGAGATTCCTTTCTGCATAGTTCTTTAAGGTACCACTGCAGTGTTTCAGCCAGGTTAAGGTCTGGATTTTAACAATACAATGTACTGATTACGGGAACTGTGACCATTGGTTGATGACCCACTTTTGGCTAAGACTCAGTTGGAAGACAAGTGGCCTTAGAAATGCTTTAGGTTGACATTGTTACAAAGAGAGCACGGTTAACTCAATCACTGCAGGGTACCTAAGTCCTTTTGATGTTTGTCAGTAGGGGTGTGGGGGAAAAAATCGTTTTGGCGATATATCGTGATTTTCGGCTGCCTTGATACAATATCGATCTTTCTTTTTTAAAACAAAATATTTTTACCCAAAACTGAGGGGAAGTGGGCTACCTCAGCACCGCCACTTTGTCAGATGACACTGTGGAGCCCTTTTGCTTAGCGGAGCTGCACCATACCTGTAGTAGAGGCATTCACAGTGGAAGATGTGGACTGACTCAGACCCCAAACAACATGGATACCATCCATCGCGAGGGGTGCTGGTGCCATTCTCCAGCTGTCAATGGGCGAGAAGCGGGGTACACCCTGGACAGGCCGCCAGTCCATCGCAGGGCAACACAGAGACAAAAAACCACTCACGCACACACTCACACCTAAGGAGAATTTTAGAGAAGCCAATTAACATAATAGTCATGTTTTTGGTCTGTGGAAGGAAGCCAGAGTACCCAGAGAGAACTCACGCATGCTCAGGGAGAACATGCAAACTCCATGCAGAAAGACCCCGGGCTGGGAATCTAACCCGGAACCTTCTTGCTGCAAGGCAGCAGTGCTACCCACCGCGACACTGAGTAGCACCACATGGATACCAAAACTTATCATCAATATCTTCTGATGAACATACACAGCACTGGCTTTTTTATGTATACATTAAATTTTGATAGGAAAAAATATTGCAATATATAGTGACATTGCAATATTGTGATAATATGGTATCGTGATCCAAGTACTGCGATACATATCGTATCGCAACACCCATGCCGATACTCACCCCTACTTAACAGCTAGTATCAAATGTATCGTGTATCTCTAAGCTTGGTGATGTGCATTATCAAACATTTCTACTTTGGTCTCATAGTCCTTTAGTTCAATCCAGTGCAGCTAAGTTTTTTTTTTTTTTTTTTCATTTTGAGTTCTCAATAGGTATATTGAGAAAATAATCTTGCATTTCTGCTGAACCCTCAGTATTGCAGAAAACCAAGTGTTCTGTTTTCCCTTTGCATGACTCAGGTCATGAGACCAAGGCTATGATGAACAACAGCGGACCGAGGTACAAGCGCAGCCAGCTGGAGAAGCGTCTGAACACAGACGTCCTGTGGTGCGTGGTCCTCCTCATTGTCATGTGTCTGGCATCAGCTGTAGGTGCGTAGCGACACACACTCAAATAAAACCATGAAATAAAGCAGAAAGTGTTTAGATTTTATTCGTTTCTGCTGCTATTTAGGAATTTAACTTTGAATTTTTATAAGCTGTGATGTTTTTGCATTTTCAGGTCATGGTTTCTGGCTGAAAAGCTTTAAAGACTCAGTCTTTCAGGTCGCTGGAGAAACCTCCCCAGCTCTCGCTGGGTTCTACGTGTTTTGGACTATGATCATCGTACTCCAGGTGTGTCCTAAGGCGTCTGTTCTTACAATAGTGATTGACCCCTTTCAGGATGAAAATTATACAACTTTAAACATTTTAAAAGTCTTTAAATACCTGTAATTTCTTTTTTTGATCAAACAATTTAACAAAAATATTTTGCACCCATAAATGAATTAAATACCTTGCTTTTTTAAGTATTTAGAGAACAAAATTCTATCAGGAAAGTACAGTTTAATGCTACAGCACAGTTTTAAAGAGATCTTGAACGGAAAGATGGTCCTGTTTGGTTTCTCCTTAAAGAAATAATATGTTTATTAGAGACTAAAATTTGCTCACTTGGGACCATGTTAGGAAAATGTATGATTTTTCTCTCATGTTCATCCTGGGTTTTTTTTTTTTTCCAACAGGTGCTGATCCCAATTTCCCTGTACGTGTCCATTGAGATTGTGAAGCTTGGTCAGATCTACTTCATCCACAACGACTTGGACTTTTACAATGAGGAGCTGGACTCCAGGATCCAGTGCCGGGCCCTCAACATCACAGAGGATCTGGGTCAGATCCAGTATGTGTTCTCGGACAAGACGGGAACGCTGACTGAAAACAAGATGGTGTTCCGTCGCTGCAGTATTTACGGGGTGGAATACCCTCATTTGGAAAACGGTGAGATGCTGGAATAAATTTCCTCGCCATCTGATGGTGTGGGATTGTCGCTGCTGTGAGGAATTTGAGATTTAATGATTCAAGTTTTTTACACTGTTGGGTTTTTTTCCTACTGTTTATCAGTATTCTGACAAGTTCAACCTCAATATTATTCTTTAGCGCGAAGGCTGGAGGTGTACGAGGCGGAGCAGAACGAAGGAGCTGGGCGCACGACGACTCTGAAGTCTGCCTGCAGTAGGAAATCTCTGAGCTGTCGTTCCTTGAGCTGCAACCGCAGCTCGGTGTCTCTGCATACCCTCACCGCAGAGTCATCTGAGGAGGAGGACCAGCTGTCCAATCATGCCGCAGCGAGGACCGGAGCCTTCTGCAGCCGCATGGTCAGACTCATTTTTTTTGGTGTTTTCCAGCTCAGGAGGCAAGATTTTAACTCTCTGTTGCTGTCTTGTTCTGATTTGACAAGGAGATCCTGTAAATATTACAGCCCAATGCTTATTTATTGTTTATATGTTATTTATGGCTTAGAAAAATAAATGGGATTATGATAAAATTATGCATAATAGGGACATTTTTTTTATTTTTGCATGAAACTTTATGTAACTACTGTTCACTGAAGGAGAGGAAAAAAGTACAAAATGTGTACACCTCCAAAAAAGGCCCATAAAGTGGCTACCCTCCGGATGCAGTGAGCTCTTATAGCATGAGGCATTGGGAGAGAAATGGCCTCTATAATACTACAAGAAAGTCTCTTTCTAGACCTAGGGTCAGCAACCTGCGGCTCTTTAGCGCCCCCTTGCGGCTCACTGGAGCTTTTTGTAAATGAATGAACATAGAAAAATATGTTTTTTTGTTTTAATAAAGTATAGGAGGACAAACAAACATTATTTGTTTTCCAGTGCTGTAAAAACATGTATACTACATAGATTTAAAGAAATTTAAACATTCCTATCAAAGATTTGCGTCATAGACTGCATCGCACGTTTCACCGTGGCACGATGCCAGGCAGGTGGCTGTTGTAAACAAAGCGGTGGGTGCACTGCAATTAGCTTTTACTGGCTTTTTTTTTTTTTTTTACACAGCCTGCTAACCTTATCAACAGGCTGCTGTTGCAGGCTGAGTTTTATTACACTGTTAAAAAGGGAAAAAAGAGGGTTGTACCACATTATAACTGTGGTTTAAAGAAGACTGCATTTTATTTCCACATGGTTTGAAATCCCAGGAGTCCTATTATGCAGATTCTTTTTTTTGTTTTTGTTTTTTAAACCCTCAAAATAAAAATAAAACAAAAAAATCTGATTTCTTTATTGTACAGTGGTTCTATAATTCCATCAATACAAGAAAACATAATACATTAATACTGTAATGGAAGTTAAACTTAAAGCACCAAATATCGTACAGCACATGGTGTGACATTTTCTCCAGGATGCACTGCAGAGAAAATAAACATTTAATTATGAATGCTTATGTATTTAAGCCTAATTAGGCATTTTGATGGTAGGCCAATATACACGTATAGCCTTCAGGAGGCTTATATAAGACTTTTTTAAATTTTGCGGCTTCAGGCAGATCTGTTTTTTGGTCATATATGGCTCTTTCAACATTTTGGGTTGCCAACACCTGGTGTAGACGGAACTCTCTGCTTTGATGGGTTGGCAATGCACACAAACAGCTGATCCTCACTTAGATTCAGCCGCCCAGGGACACAAGTAGCCCGGATAGAGTGTATGTTGCACCACTGCAAATGAATCAAAGCCTTAGAAGAGGCAGAGACATTTGTGCATCATCAGGAGACCCAAGAGGCACTACTGCGATCATAGATACTGTGGTAACCCCATTGAAGATCAATGTTTGCTTCACAGTTTAAACTAAACAAGGCAGCGGTAAGCTGCTTTTTCTATTTTATCTATCTAAGAGCGGGCTGTCCTAGCAGAGAGGTGCTGCCCCCTCTTGAAACTCAAGAGGTATAGACTTAATTGTAATGTCTTTTGATACTAACTTTTTTTCCACACAGATGGTTATTGGAACATTTTAAACATTCATACAAAGATTTTGAAAAACTGTGCCCTGAGAAAAATTTGAAGTGTCCAGACTTATGGAATATGATGTTAGAGGAGAGATTACAATATACTGTGTTCCTCTGGGGACTGGGATCCCGAACATCAATGACGCACCTTAGTAGACATATCTCCCTGCTCTTGAACCTTCAGTAATCCCCAGGCATAGGGGATACACTTTGTGCTCGTTCTAAAAGCCTGAAGCTGCAGCCCTGAGGACAGGGACGAACAGAAGACTTCTATCGCTTCACTTGGGATTGCTTTGTGCTCACTTCCAACCACAAAGCCTAATTGGAATGTTTTGAAATGAGCATGTAGCAGATAAACACACATACCAGCAAGCAGCAGTGGAAAATACCAACAAAAGTGGTTGAACTTGACTTCCAAGCAGCCTTTTGAAAAAAAAAACAAAAAAAAACACAAAGCCAACCACCAGCAGCAACTAGCCTGACTAGCAGAGGGTTTGTTTGTGGAGTAAAGAGCATAAGAACTAAATAATATCAGTGACAACAGACAGATATAGTGTGGGCCGTGCCTGTTAGTTGTCCTAATCACGTTATTCGCCTAGAAGGTTTCAATAGAAGTGGCTTCAGCCAGGAAATGGAGGCTGTGATGCCCCGTACTCATGTGTTATACTGTGTGAATGGGCTAAAAGGGAACTCTCAAAAGTAACGTCTTTTGGCATTTATACAAAAACCAAACTGATTTGTTTTTGTCTTTTCTTTTTTGCTGTAGAACTTAACCATAAAGCAAAGCTCTTTTTCAACATAACAGTGATCTGATAACAAAGGTATAATTTCAACAAATGAGTGCAAATCAGTGAGAACAGATTCCAATCATTGCGTAGCTATGTTCCAACATTCATGGCGCTCATTTCAGTTTGTAAGGAAATTGTGAACAACAATCAAATTTGATGCTAGTTTCTGGTGTTTAAATTAATTATTACATTCATAGACGATTATTCGTTATTATTGCATAAATCGAAAAATAATTCAAGGCTCCCAGGGCAAGTATTGAATCTGATTTTACTTTTTTTTTTTTCTTTTTTTTTTTTTGACTATTTATAATTAGGAAGGCCATGGCGTGTCCAATCCATTTTCTATCATGTTTAGAAGGGATTTATCATACAGTGCTCCCAAGAGAAAGCAAAACATCTCTCCATAGAGTATAAAGGGGATACAATAGTGCACAGTGACTGAACGCTCAGAAAAGAGACAGTTCATTTTAAACAAGACACAAAACCCTTGACTGCCTAAATTGGTACTCTGATTTCTGTTATTTTACACAATCGTTCTTTGGATTGGTAATTTTGATTGACATTTTTCTGCAGAATTGTAAGCTCAGAGTGTGATGATGTCACATGGCAGAGAGGTTGTAAGGATGTTAAAAATTTTGTCAAATCTACACAAGGTGCACGTGTCCAAACTGTAATTTACTCCCATTATTTTTCAGCTGTAAATTATAGTCTTCAAACTGGATTTTAACTCCCTCCTTTATCTATCATATTATGACTACTTCCATAGAAACGTTAAACTGAAAATTAAAGAATGTGACTAACTATCCTGATTTTTATGATTTCTGGTCTTAAAAATGTAAACTTTCAAAGTAAAGCTTCTAAAACAATTGAAATAGGTTCCGTAACTTAAGGTTGCTGTATGTTTGAGGTATGATACCGAGACCTCTTAACATGTTTCTAAAGACCTTTTCTAGTTAATGTTTAGATTTTGAAACACCTAGACGATGCAGCTTGAACACATCTTCAGTGAAGGACCCAGGGTCATAGGGTGTTTCAGGTCTTTGATCTTCAGACACCGTCGCCTGGGTGACTCAACCAGGGTTGATCAGGCCCCAGTTTTGTTTCAAGCAGCACGCTATTCCATGCGTCTCCCCTCTTGGTTTTTCAGTGGCCTCACTGATGTTTCTGGTGGCTCTTCTCTAAAGCAACACCTAATGCCAAGGAGCCCGAAAGCCCGAGCACAGTTTGACTTAGGAAGCCCCTGCAGCCAGGCTTCGATTAGCTCACTATGGGTCCTCTGCATGCCTCAATCAGCTCAAGATATTTAGCGTTCTTCTTTTTGTCAGCCTCCTACATCCTGTCCTCCCAGGGGACTGTAAGGTCCAATAGCACAACTTGCTTTGTCAGGTCAGATGTTAAGACTAGATCTGGTGTCAGTGACATCCTTGCAATATGCTCTGGGTACTTAAACTGCCTCCCGAGGTCCACATGCAACTGTCATGGCTAGCAGTCCAGTTGTGAAATGCTACCATTTAGCATTAACTGTGTAAAAACATCTGTAATACTTTTTTTTTGGTTTAAGTAGAAGTTGAGGCCCCTTTATGAATTTCCTAGACATTATTAGTAGAGAAAAACAATGTGTAAAATATTTTGTTTAAAGATTGGTGAGTGTATGACAATAAAGAGATTATTCTGGACCCATATTGCTGACTTAACTCCTGTTGGGTTTTTCTTCAGGCCCAGGATGTTGTACCAGACCCTGAGCTGGTGAGGAAACTGAGCAAGCTTTGCTCCTCCAATCTGCATTTAAGAGACAGTGCCTCTGATAACATATCCAGCCTGGAGCTGACCTACATTACTGACTTCTTCCTGGCTCTGGCCATTTGTAACAGCGTGGTGGTGTCTTCGCCCAGCCAGCCCCGCCACATGGTGAGAAGGAACTACCTCTGTTAGGCCCTGGTTTAACGATTTGGATCACTTAAAATGTTCTGGTTTACCCTGCAGGTAACTGAATCCCAAGCACCTGTGAGGTCTCTGGAGGAGATTAAGCTGTTGTTCCAGCGCCTGAACTTCTATTCATTCTCCCCTCCCCAAATCAAAGGAAGTCCTCGCAGTTTCACAAGCAAGCTGTTCACTCGTGGAAAAACTGGCTCCTTTGCCTTCAACACCCCACCCAGCAACGGCGCAGACAGCTCAGACCAGGATCTTAAGAACAGCCAGGAAAGCTGCAAACTAAAGAGTGTGGAGAACCCCACTGACCGAGGGGATTCTACTGCCACAGGGAGTGAGGAGGATCTGGAGAACTTCAGTAAGGCAAAGGGAGGCGGTGACGGGGATGCACGGAATGTGGAAGAGCTGTGCAGAGATATGGAACCAGAAGAGAACGGTGACGATGAGCTGCTGTATGAGGCAGAGAGTCCTGACGAGGCGGCTCTGGTCTACGCTGCCCGGGCGTATCACTGCACCCTAAAAGGCCGCTCGGCTGAGAGCCTGCTGGTAGACCTGCCAGGAATCGGCTCTCTGGCTGTACAGCTGCTTCACATCCTGCCTTTTGACTCCAACAGGAAGAGGATGTCTGTGGTGGTCCGGCATCCTCTAACGGGACAGGTAGTGGTGTACACCAAGGGAGCAGACTCCGTCATCATGGACCTGGCTGAAACACAGAGAGGTAAAGACTCAAGAGAAATTCTGATATGAACCCAATGATTATTAGATCGACTGTAAGATCTGGACAGACATATAAATAAGTTAATTTATTCAAATTATTTATTTAAAAATATATTTTCAAAAAGTAAAACTTTCCATTCTGATGTAAGTTTTTTTGTCTTAGATTTTATTTTCTACTACAGAAATGCTTATGACCATGATATTGTTATGTTATGCTACAGTAATGTCTTTGAAAAGGCCAGGATTTCCACATAGCTATCCTCTTTTTGATAAGAAAACAATTTTGTTTTTGTTTTTTTCATCTGTGAGCCATGATGATGATATTCATACTAATATTAAAACCTTCAAAAATCATTAATTGGTGAATTTCAATATTATTTATTTTTTTCTTTCGGCAAACAAATCTGATCTTTTTGTCACTTTTTGTTTCCAGGTTCAGAACAGGTTCAGGAGTTTTACTGCAAGATCAAGGAAAAAACCCAAAAACATCTGGATATGTACGCTAGAGAAGGCCTCCGTACGCTCTGCATTGCTAAAAAGGTTACCCACTGACCCACTATTATGTTTTTGGTTGTTTAGATGCAACTTTTTACCCCTCCATCATGCTGCCATTTCCTCATATAAAAAAAAGGATTTCTCCTTCCATTATTCCAAATAATTGGAATATTGGGATATTTGTAATATTGGGATCGACCTATCTTAAACTTCTCCTTCTTATTTGCATGGACAGGTTCTAGAAGAAGAGGAGTATGAAGTTTGGCTTAAGAGGCAGCTGCTTGCAGAGAGCAGCATTGAGAACCAAGAGGAGCTGCTGCTGGACTCTGCTCAAAGGCTGGAGACTGACCTCACTCTCCTGGGTAGGAGACATAACATTCAGACGTCCTCTGCATCCAAGCTGCAAACAGCAACGCTTGATATGTTTGTGTGCAGGCTGCACAGGGATTGTGGACAGGCTACAGGAGGATGTCCCAGAGACGATAGAAGCCCTGCAGGAGGCTGGTGTGAGGGTGTGGGTTCTCACCGGAGACAAACAGGAGACGGCCGTCAACGTAGCCAACGCCTGCAGACTGCTCCGCTCCAACGATCGACTGTTGACCGCCAATTGTGGAAGCAAGGTCAGGCGCTACTGGACTTCTTTGGGCTCTCATTTCAGGCCCCAACATTTCATTAACTGATCTTTTTTTTCCTCCTCAGGATGCATTAGCAGCTCTGCTTGAGGAGCTTTTAATTGAAGTCCAGAATGGCGAGAACGGAGAGGAGCCTTCTTTTGACAGCACCAGCAGCTTCATCCTGGTGATTGATGGCCGGACGCTGGAGTGGGCCCTGCAGGAGGAACTGAAGGAAAGCTTTTTGCAGCTGAGCTGTAAATGTAAAGCAGTCATCTGCTGCCGATCCACGCCACTCCAGAAGAGCAAAGTGGTCCAGCTAATACGGGACAAGATTGGTGTCATGACGCTGGCCGTGGGTAAGGAGGCAGTCAGGGCAATGATACTATCAGACAAGTAGGAGGAAAATGCATCTTAAGACGTTTTTATGTTTAAGGTGATGGAGCAAATGACGTGAGCATGATTCAGGTAGCTGATGTTGGAATCGGGATATCTGGTCAGGAGGGGATGCAGGTGAGAGAACTCAGCTGCTGCAGCTTTAACAGAAACACAGCCGGATATTTTAACCGGGGATTGAAATGTTTTCTGTCACTTTGCTTCTCTCTGCAGGCTGTGATGTCCAGTGACTTCGCCATCTCAAGATTCAAACACCTCAAAAAGTTGCTGCTGGTTCATGGCCACTGGTGCTACAACCGCCTTGCAAACATGATCCTCTACTTCATCTACAAGAACGTGGTAAGAACTGTTTCACTTCGGCTTACTCTTTTAGGTTTTAAAATGATTCATCATTTGATCTCTTTCTACTCAACTGTTGGTGCCTTGGTGAACTCTAGATCATCCTCTGGAAGAGATGTTGATTTGAGACCAAACTCTGTCTTTTTTTTTCATGCAGATGTATGTGAATCTGCTGTTCTGGTATCAGTTCTTCTGCGGCTTCTCTGGGGCCGTCATGATCAACTCCTGGGTGCTAATCCTCTTTAATCTAGTCTTCACGTCAGTTCCTCCTATCATCTACGGCGTCCTCGACCAAGACATGCCAGCAGACACCCTGATGAAGCTTCCTGAGCTCTATGGAGCGGCACAGACCGCCAAGGTAATCCCCTGAGGTCTGGGAGGGGGATCTATCATTTTAAGACCTGTGGTCACAGCATATTTTATTTTATTTTGTTTTTTCAAACCATTAAAAAAACTGACACTCTCATAAAAAATGTTTTACTGTAGGTATAAATATCACTCGAACCTCTAATTTCTTGTCCGTGTTCTTTTGCCCATCTTAATCTTTTTCTTTTATTGGCTACTCTGCCCTGAAGCCCAGAATCCTGCAGCTGCCTCTTCACTCTAGATGTTGACACTTGTGTTTTGCGGGTACTATTTAATGAAGATGCCAGTTGGGGACCTGTGAGGCGTCTGTTTCTCAAACTAGAGACTCTAATGTACTTATCCTCTTGCTCAGTTGTGCAACGCGGCCTCCCACTTCTTTTTCTACTCTGGTTAGAGCCTGTTTTTAGCTGTCCTCTGAAGGGAGTAGTACACACCGTTGTAGGAAATCTTCAATTTCTTAGCAATTTTTCGCATGGAATAGCCTTCATTTCTAAGAACAAGAATAGACTGTCGAGTTTCAGATGAAAGTTATCTTTTTCTGGCCATTTTGAGCGTTTAATTGACTCCACAAATGTGATGCTCCAGAAACTGAATCTGCTCAAAGGAAGGTCAGTTTTGTAGCTTCTGTAACAAGCTAAAATGTTTTCAGATGTGTGAACATGATTGCGCAAGGGTTTTCTAATCATCAATTAGCCTTCTGAGCCAATGAGCAAACACATTTTACCATTAGAATACTGGAGTGATAGTTGCTGAATATCGGCCTTTATACACCTATGTAGATATTGCACCAAAAACCAGACATTTGCAGCTAGAATAGTTATTTACCACATTAGCAATGTATAGAGTGTATTTCTTTAAAATTAAGACTAATTTAAAGTTATCTTCATTGAAAAGTACAGTGCTTTTCCTTAAAAAATAAGGAAATTTCAATGTGACCCCAATCTTTTGAATGGTAGCGTATGTATATATATATATATATATATATATATATACACTGCAGTTTGGGTCCTGACAGGGTTAGCTCTCATTCATCATCTTGTCCCGTTTCCGTTTCCCTCTATTGAATCAAACTGTATCTATTGTTTGTTTTTCATTGGCCACAAACAGAATAACACCTAAACTTTCCTGCAGGTCTATGTTCCAGCCACTTTCTGGATCACCATGCTGGATGCCTTTTACCAAAGCCTTGTTTGTTTCTTCGTGCCTTATTTCGTAAGTTTATTTTAGTAAAACCTTTTATGACTCCAGGTCAGGTTCTCTCTCTTAATATTTTCTGAATGTTTTTCACAGGCGTTGTCCAGGTCAGATGTGGGAGTGCTGTCGTTCGGCTCACCTGTCAACACCTCAGCTCTCCTCATCATCCTGCTACATCAAGTTGTGGAGAGCAACACACTGGTCAGAGCCTCACTGATATAAACCCCTCTTTGCTCTCTTTGGAGGTTTATGCAGGATTATTAATGCAAACTGCCCTATTTGTGCTTTTCAGACATGGATTCATATGCTGGTGTTGGTGCTCAGTGCTGCTTTGTATTTCGCCTTTGCACAGCTCTACAGTGCCTTCTGTGTGGTCTGCAGCCACCCCACCAACCTGTTTGGGGTTGAAAAACTGCAGATGTCCCAGCCTCTCTACTACATCATCTGCATCCTCACTACAGTCGCTGCTTTGTTACCAAGGTATCGCAAACAATCCCACAGAGTTCTATTTGACTCTGAACATCTGCTTAGGAGCTACTGAGCTGCATAATGTTGATCTGCAGGATTGCAGCTATGGGCACGGTTTGCCACATCATTCATTTTATGGGTAAAAGAACAATACCAGATCAAACTGGGCCACCTGGAATTAATAACACCAGTGTATATGCAAAATGAGACTTTAGAATAATTGACAGTCATCTGTTATTGGATGCAAATACTTTTTGGAAAAGTGTTTAATGGCTAAAATGTATAAAACAAATAAAGGTCAGTTAGTACGAGCCATAGATATCTATATTTTCCTAAATCTGACAGCACAGGGGTTTAGATAAAGATTGTCAGCATGGTTTGGGAAGTTTAATCATGCTAATCAGAAATGACTTTTAACGCCTTTCTAGTTTGTTCCCTTTTGCTCACAAATGAATTTGATTGGTGGAGAATTTGCTTTTACCTCCTGACTATGTGCCCTTGTATCTGGGACCAACATATATGAAGTGCTTTAAGGTGGGAGGTCTGCCTCCCATCAATCACACATGCAATTAACTTTAATGTTTGAGCTACAGTTGCTTTAGATCTGGTTTCTTCTTTCTAATTAATCAACTATAAGGACAAAAATGTTTGCTTGTTGCCTAGTATATCTATGTAGTATAATTTTTCTGATAAAGACATGGTCTTTATTTATTAACCCTTTCAGCTGCAGTGATTCCATAAGTAATGTTCTATATAATCCCACGTCCCTTTATAGTATCTTAAATGTTTGTAAGATAAATAGCAATATATCAAGTGTTAAGATGGCTGTGCAGTCAATCTAAGTTCTTCCTTTTTCCCTTAATAGGTAAAAAGGATAGAAAAAAGGCAAAGATTTGCTTTTTTATTCTGTAATCTTTGATATGAGATTAATCTTTCTCCTTTATTTTGCATATCGTAACACAACTTTAACATTTTCAGCCATCAGTCACATAGTTTCTATTTTAAATTCCACACCTCAGCAGACATCTTTTAAAGTCAGAAAAGGGGCGATTTCACAACTTCATAAGAAATCCTCTTTAACTTGGGAATTGAAATCAAACGTGTGGCTAAAACAAACAAACAAGGGTGCTCAAGTCAACATGTTTTATTTTCTTTCATTTTGCTATTTTTACCAGACTAAAGATGTTAAATTTAGGAAACTACACTTTAAAGAATCATTCTTGTTTTACAGCATCTAAGCATCTTGGGTTGTAAAAAAAACAAAAAAAAAAAAACAGCCTGAATGAAGCTTGGCTATTACTTTAGGTCATGGTTGATGGAACATACAAATTTTATATGAGCAGTTTCAATGTGTTACCCTTAAGTTTCCAGTTCGTCATTACAGCTGTTGACTGTTGCATCTGGAAAAAAAGAGAAGACATTTTGACATTTTAAAGTATGGACTAACCCTCAGAAGAAAATGTAAAGAACTGAATCTGTTGATGAGCTGCAGCCAGGATTAAAACACCTGCAGCTGTAGAATTTGGGAATAAGTTGAAAAAAGTGATGCTGTTTGCTGAACCTCTCTATTCTACCCGCTTATCTGCAGGATTTTGTTTCGGGCGCTGTTCAACTCCCTCCACTTCCCTACGTCTCTGAAAACCGCTCATAGAGATGAGGCAGCTGTAGAGCAGTACCGCCGCAGGATGCATCGCTGGAACCTGAAACACACGGCAGCCAGCAGCCTCCCTGTGTGCGCAGATAATCCAGGGCTGGTGCCCAGTGAGGAGGAAGTGATGTCATGACCTTTTCTCAGAGACACAGAAGGTTAAACTCAAATCAGCGACTGATGTCAGGCAACAGGAGATAGAGGAGATATTCGGTGCAATGAAGTGTTAATCTGACAGAACTCTGCAGCTTCCTTCAGCTCAGAGAAGACTGATATTGCCACGCATGACAGCAGCTGTAAGACCAAAACCAACAGCTGAAACCAGCCTCTGGTTTGGGCCATGAGAAAAAAACACAACCCCAAAAACTTTGATGCTGTTTGAATTGTGTTTACGTACTGTACATGCAGCTATGCACTATGAAAATGTTACCATTGTTTACCTGCTCAGCTCGGGAAGGATTCCTCAGCATCTGAATGACTTTCCTTTGAGGCACATTTATTTATTCCTGTACAGGCTTTGGTTTCTATGAGAGCAGATGCTAAAGCTAACCTGGATGGACATGAATCCAGTTTAATGAAGATAGTCTAATTATTTTTGTCTTTTTGATTCAGTCGACTAGTGAGAGTAAAGATCAACATTCCCAAAGACAGAGATGGTCCTGTTCTGGTGTTTTGAAGTGCCTTTTCACTTCTTTATCAAGAAAACAATAAAGCAATAATGAATACAATTGAGTCTCATTTTAATGGTACCTGATCTTGTCACATTGTCACTTATTATACAAGATTGAATGATTTCTTTTTTTTTTTTTTATATCATGTAACTTCATGGACTTTGGTTCCCAGGTTTCATTGATGGGTTAAATCATTCACACATTAATTTGCTTCACTTGCAATAGACAGTAAAGTCTCACCGGGCGATATTCATCTATGAAAACAGCAAAACGCAATTTGAAGCATGCAGATACAAAGGTTTGAAAAAAAGGCAACAGTGAGGTCAACTTTACAACAATGAAACAGTTATTGAAAATTGCATATTCATATTAGAGAAACTTGCAAGTGGGAAGTGTGATTGGAAAATGTCAAATATTTGTATCCGTTAATGAAAAACGTCAACAGACTGCAAAAAGTAAGGAAAGTAAGGGGAAAAAAACGTAATGTGGTGATCAAGACAACTGGTGGTTTATTTTGAGCAGCGAAGGATTATGATGTATCTCTGGAAGGAAGGATTCAATTAATTTTATTTATGTAGCACCAATTCACAACACATGTCATCTCAAGGAAATTTAGAGTTAACCAGATCATCCAGTCAAATTGATTCAAAGTTTTCTAAGGAAAACCAGTTAATTGCATCGACTCATTGACTCGAATGCAATCCTTTACACTAAGTGGAAACTGTGGACGACAATGGAGAGGAAAAACTCCCTTTAAAACCTCCAGCAGAACAAGGCTCAGTGTGAGCGGCCATCTTTGCACAAGTTGTCCAAGGATGGGGGGGTGCTGACCTTTGTCCCTCTTCCTATTACCTCCACTTTCTCCCAAGTCAGGAGTTGTACAGCTTGAGAAACAAAGGAGTTAAGCAGTCTGTTGGTCCTACTGATCAGGCTCCTCTGAGTGGTGAAGACAGTGTGCAGAGACTGGCATTGTCCATAATGTCCAGCAGTTTAAGTGTCCATTTCTCTGCTACCATCCCCAGTGAATCCAGCTTCTTGCCAATCACAGAGCCCGCTCGCCTCACCAGTTTGTCCAGTCTGGAGGTGTCCTTGGATGTGCTGCTCCCCCAACACACCATGGTGTAGTAGAGGGCACTGTGTTCTTGTTTCCATGCATACCTGTGTTTCTTGTTGGAGCAGAGTTTCCATACAGCAACGGCTGTAAACAGCTGCTCAATTCGGCTGATAAAGAGGAATTCAGCCCTAAATTGTAGACATGAGATATTATATTATATAAATGATCCAATATTCTGGGCTTATCCCTGAAAATATATCGCTATTTCAGAATAATATGTGATACTTTAGGAATATTTTGAAAAGCTGTCTCTAAAGACTTGTTCCTGGTTTTATCTCATTGACTTTAGCAGAGAATACATTTTATAAATATAGGAAACACTGGCATCTTTAGACTTGTGCTTCTAAACTCTTCCAAAATGAGTTTTTTTAAAAGACTTGGAGCATTTATTTAAAGTATTTTTTTGTAGAAGCATTCCTTGTATTCCTTGCCTCCACTCTGGGTTCCTGAGTAAGACCCTTAACTCCAAACTGCTCCCAAGGCGCCACACAAAGGCAGCCCACTGCTCCCCAACGGGAGTCAAATGCAGAGAGTGAATTTCCCCATTGTGGGCAGAGGCGTAGCCAGGAATTTTTTATAAGGGTGGCAATACCTAATGTACACTGAAGGGTGGCCGAAAGTGGATAGGCATGAAAACCTCACGGTCAATCTACACTGTTCCAACGCGAAAATTAACGAGCAAAACATCCATATTTTCTAAATAAAGACAAACTATACATTCCTCCAGCCTTTGCTAACAAATAGACGCATATATTGAAACATCTGTATTTCATGGATAAAAGGTATACTCGATAAAACTCTGTTTTGAGTTCTGGGGTGTAAATCAATCATCATTACTTACCTACTTGTATCAGTAAACATTCTGCATAAAACTGATATTTAAAAGCACTAATATCTACATAAATTGATTATTTGAAAAGTTATTATAATTCTTATATATCTTTGACTTCACTTAAGACTCCTAGATGACTTCCAGAGACAAATTTTTCTCTTTACCCCATATAACACAAAATCTAGTTCTGAAAAGAGCATACACTCTGTATTTATCATCTTTGATGTTCGTATATTGATGTGTATAATTAACCACAAAAAAATAAAATGTTTTGAATATTCCATTTGAGAGTATTACTGCTGCCACCATCTGTATTAAGCAGGGCGTACACTGTGCGATTTTTTTCAATTGTTGCACGCAGCTGCAGCTCACACTGTACGACGATGGAGCTACTCTGACTCGTTTATCTGGTAGCAGAATGAGTAGAAGAAGAATATGAGGCTCACTAGCGTGAAACGCGCTGCCTTGGCAATTTGTACAATTTTGTGCTGAAAGCCCTAAAAAGAAAAGGAGACGGTGTAATTGGACAAAGACATGGCTGAGTAAACGTGGCTAATACGGTCTGTCAGCTTTACAGAAAGAACTCCCTTTCACCCGCACCGCCGCCATGCTGCTGTGTTTACATCTGAGAGGAAGAAGGAGAATCCTTGTTTGCACATGTTTGATTTTCTCCCGACCTCACAATTCCTGATCGGAAGGTGATCGTGAGAGGCTGATAGCCCCTCAATACCCCCGTACACTACATGACGCACGATCAGGCTGAAAGTCGGCCCGATCGAAAAATTCTTGCACGACTGGAAAATCGCCCTGAACAGGGCAAAGAATCGCACAGTGTAAGCGCAGTGTAAAAAATGGTAGGGGTGGCCAATAATTGGCCCCCATGGCCACCCCTGGGCCCCCATCTAGCTCCGCCCCTGATTGTGGGACAATAAAGGGATTTACATACATTTCCCAGTGAGGCCCCATGTGTAGCTGTCTTTGTAACCATTCCTTGTGTGTTTCTTCACTTAGTCCTGTAAGTGGTTTTAAGTGGGCGGAGTTAATTGATTAAACTCTGGTGTGTGTTTTCTTGAACAAACTGTCAGGCATTACTTCCAGTCAGGGGTTAAGTTACCGCCCACCTGTTTGCAGGGTTAATTATTTGTAGAGCTGAACAGATAAGAATTGAGTGTGTTTCAGGTGAATGTTCTGCTGTCTGAGCTGGTTTCCTCCTGGGCGGGTCTGACAGGCTGACTTTCAGTTCCCTGCAGCTGCTGTTTGCTCAAAGGTTCCCAGAGCTGAGGAAGGAAGCGGCGGACGCAAAAATGAGTTTCTACAGCGACGCTTCCAACGATGACCTGAGCGACGAGTTGGAGACTTTGGGGTGAGTTTTTCCATCTTTTTTTACCAGAGGAACAGCGGGCGGCTACAGGAACAGGGACACTTGCTCAGAGGTCATGAGAATTGTCTTTAATTTAGTCCTCCAGTAAAGTTAGGCGGATATTCACAGATTCGGCTTTTCTGGACCAATAACTCATCAGCGGAACATGAACTCTAAAGAACAGACTCCTTTTTAAATTGTCCTCTATGCAGAGCTGGCTGTTAGATGCGCAGCGACCGCCTGCAAATGAAACCACCACAGAAATATGATAATGGTGTCACAGGTGCGCTGGTATGAAAATCATTTGATGTCAATGTGGTCTCACCTACTTCATACTACTTTTCTTTTCTTTTCTTTTTTTTCTTTTTTTGGTTGGAGAATACCTAAAAAAAATAATATTAATAAAATAAAATAAAAATAAAAAGAATTCGAAAGCCCATTTAAATAGCCAAATATTTTGTAGTTTATTTTTCCACAGTAGAAAAAACGTCAAATAAAAATAAGTTTGCTTTATAAATCAAATAGCTTTGAATAAAGGGTCGTCATTTTTTATAAGATTTATTATTTAAAAGAGCGTTGCTTACAATCTAACATGTTTTAACAAACAATGCACGTTAGAGTGCCATCATACTTACATTGAATATAAAACTTAAAATTTTGGTGATTTTAATATTAAAAAATAAATTTGAAAAAATTACACTCTTATTATTCTTTCTTCTTTTTTTTAACAGCAGAGGTGTTCAACAGGGGGTCCGTGACCCCTAGGGGGTCCACCGAGGTGCTGCATGGGGTCCGAAATTTTATGGTTGATTAGACTTTTTTTTTTTTTTATATTCCACCATGCAATTTTTTCCACTAATTGAAATGTCTTTAAATCCACAATAACATGAATTCAACACACTGTAGTAAACAGATAAATGGAGGCAGAAGATGTCTTTCAGTCATCAATGCACACATTCAGCGACACACAGGAGCTCTTTCAATTTAGGCACCATTTAATTCACAACACCTGTACCATCAATGAGGGATCAGATTTGGAGATTTAAAACAGATTTCTCTGTTTTATGAGTTTGATGCCACTAAAGCACACCTTTGTAAAATCGTTGTTTTTTCTTATACTTATTCAGCATGTAGTTGTTGCCCATTTATTATTTATTTTAATAATTAAAAACACCAAAAAAATAACTTAAGGTACATTTTGCCTGGCTAAGAGTTAGTATGATAAAGCTGATGTGCACTGAAAATATTATTTTCCAATCCACAAACTGTATTATTAAAGACGTCAGACCACAAACACACATTAAACACATAAAAAAAGCACATAACATAATTCAGATGAGAACAAACCTCTCCTTCGTGATTCCATTGAATATTTCTTTTCATATTTCTGTGGTGTTGCAATTCGCAGACGGTCCCTGCACGTTTGACAGCTCGTGAGTTCAGCATGGAGGCCAGTGAGAGTCTCCCAGCCTGATGGTTAGGCTGGTTTGGGGAAAAATACAATTGTAGCTCAATGTCTGCTGCAGAAACCAGTCACTCAGGAGTTGTTTTATTATTTGTTATCAAATGCACACAGTTTTGCACATTGAACGGGTGTGTTCTCCGAAAGTAAAAAAGGAAAAATAGAAATAGAAACATTGGAAGGTGACCTGAGAAGGTTTTTTTTTTTTTTTTTTTTTTTTTTTTTTTTGAGTTTAGTAGCTGAAAATTATCTTGCGGTCTTTTACACTTTAAACCTTAGGTTATTTTATGTTGAAGCTGAGAATTGGCTTTTTTATATGCAAAGTGGAGTACTGGGACGTTCCCTCTAGAGTGGTGGACTCTGGTTTAATCAGAGAGGTTGCCTCTATCAGATTAGTCAAATGCTCAGTCTGCCTATAAAAGCTTGATATAGGACGTTCGAAATGAGCAACTGACTTTGTAGAGAGAGGAAAATCCAGAACCCATCAAAGAAATTAGCTGTGGATGGATAAATATACTTTTTTTAGTTCTGTTTGTTGGTTCTATTTAGAGTATCTTTGCTTAAGTGCAGTTTTATAATATTTTAAGATTGACATATTTCACAGTTGAACTTTAATGGCTCATTTAGAAATTGTTGGGGTGATTCTAAGGAGTTCTTAAATCTGCTTCTCTTGTAATTTAGTGGCACTTCTGCACTGGAGCAAAGCTGTCGAATTCCCACCTTTGAGAAACTAATTGTAGACGGTAGTTGATTGACTCAGACTTATTATCCATCTCTGTATCTGTCCATGTTTTGCTTAACCAGGGCTCTGGTCATGGCAATAATAATATGTCCAATAAGGAGCAGTTCTTGTGTATCTCTTCCAATTGGAATGTGCCTTGGAAAAGCCCTACCTGATTTCAACTGTGTCCTAAAAGTCATTCTTAAAATCAAGATTCATATAAATAATGATTAAAGTAGAGATTGTGGACCTCATACAGCAGAGATGGATGGAAGGCTGACTGCTTTTGTGCAGCCTCACAAAAACTGACTTGTATTTATCAGGTTTGTCAACCATTAGAGACATTAAAATATTGAAAAATGATATTAATTTGACATTAGAAGTAAGTTGGTAGATTTCAGCTACTAATTCAGGAAAAGTCCTGTAAAAAGTACAAAATAGTACAAAAAAAATCATAATTGAAGATGCAAAAGTCAACACAAATATCAAACTTGGAAAAAAAAATTAAGATAAAACTATATGAATGATATTACAAGCTGATGAATTGGAGTCAAACTAAATATTTGTGTTTTTTTTTTTTTTTTGTGTTTTTATCATAATTTTTATAAAGCCAGACTTTAATCTCTGCCCAACCTTGAATGCAAATTGAGAACTTTCACTTCCCCTTTTACTGTTTATTTTTTCATTCACATCTGCAGCACATTTTTAACTGACTATTTCCAACTTTCCTGTTCACATCTTTGCTCTGTTGACTGTATTTTCACTTTGTCCAGCTTTCTGTTAGAGTGTTTGTTCTTTAAGCTTAACTGAATTTCTATAGATATGAAACCTAAAAAGTAAATGCAGAAAGGTTAAAGACAATAAAATGAAATCAACCATGTTAGTCTAAAGAAGGTAAAAAAAAAATACTAAATTAAAGAAAACGTAACTTTTTTGCTATTCTTGAAACAATTCAACCTATATGGGTGAACAGGGTGTAGTATTTGGATAAAATATCTCTTAAATCTATCAATGATTTTTTTTTTTTATATTGAGTTAATCTAGTTTTATTTGAACTAGATTCGGCAATATATTTATTTAACTTAAAAACAGAACTAGTTCATAGATAGAATTAGAATTCCTACGGGTAAATCCCCAAAATAAGAGATGCACAATACAAAAATGGGTTTCCATGTATGGGTCCCTGAGGAATGGCAGATGTGAGATTTTGCAAGAATTATAAAAATTTAGGATTTCCTTAAATTGTACTAAAACCACTTTTGGAGTTGTTAAAACAGGTGAAAAGCCTTTAAAACCAAAAGTATGTTGTCTTATAATAGAAAATTACATCTGTTCTATGTTGTTTTGCATCTGACACCTTTTGCATAATTTAATGGTAAAAACTTTGCTGGAAATCCTATTGTACACAATCAGATATGCCTGATAACAGCCAGTAGAAGACTACACAAAAAATATTCTTGACTTATCGCATAGTAATAAATTACTAATATCAAAAATGTATTTCTGTTTTTTCTTTTTACATATTTTGTTAAAAGGGCAAATAAGGAATTCAAACCAAAAAAAAGTAATTTTCTGTTTTGTTTTATTCTTGGATCAGGCTTTTAAGGGTTAATTTTACATTTTTTTTTTCAATAAATAAACATAAGTATTACTATGTATATATATTTTTTCTATCGTTCAGGGAATCATTCAATTTCAAAGCAGGGCTGAACAATTATGCCAAAAATCTAAAATTGCTTTTTGGTTTCTTATTTCAAAAAATATTTCAATTGCTATTTCATTTTTGACCTTAGTTGTTTCCATGACCTTGGAACGCCTGCTTTTCCTGAGTGCAATGTCACAGAAATGTATTATTGTGCGGATAAGTGCTTACTACTTTTTGCATATTTTGATCTGTTTGCTCACAGCAACAGCAAACTATTCTCTCGTTTTTGTATCTTATCTAAATACACTGCATGTAGGTGGGTTTCTAGGGCAGATGTTGGCTTCTTAACTTTCCACAACTATAGTTATATTTTGGGGATTTTACACTGACTTGTCAATACGCCTTACATGGTGGCAATATAACCATGTTACTTGCCCGAAACTTGCCTTTTAATTAAAAGTGCTTTATTTCCTTTATCTGTTTAACTTTTAATCTTTTTTTTTTTCTTCCCAGGTGGTACCACTACGATCTGTCCCGGCATGCAGCAGAGGCCCTCCTCATGTCCAATGGGGTGGATGGGAGTTACCTTCTTAGGAACAGTAACAATGGTCCTGGCTGCTTTGCCCTCTCCGTAAGGTCAGTCAGATGAAATTATCTTAAAATCCTTATACAGTTTGGTCTTTCAATAATGGGTTAGGTGAAAACTGCATTACTTTTCTACTTGGGGGGGCTACCTTCACATGTGGAGTACCTCAGGGATCAATGCTCAGTGCTTTGCTGTTAATATTTTTATACCCTATTTTTTGGAATTCCGTCTTGCCATAACCATTAAGTATGTGGCTCTAATGTTGTTTTTTATTATACTGAAAAGACACAAGTCATAAGTCAGTGGTTGCACTTAAATTTCTAGACATTCTAATTGTAATTGTTATATATATCAGCTTCATTCTTTTTTGAGTTGAATATAATGCTTATATAGCTGGTCATTGTAATAATGTTATATCAAAAGTTTGTTTCTTCTCATTCTGTGCAACACAGAGCAAAGGACTCAGTGAAGCATTTCCATGTGACACGCAGAGATAATGTCTACCGTTTTGGGTTTAACGAGTTCCCGAACCTTCATGACTTCCTCAGACACTTCGCCAACCAGCCTCTCCTGGGAAGTGATGCAGGTACAGTATGAACACCTGGATTTTCACAGACAGGCTAATGAATTAAACTGCTTCTATTTCCAGACTTTAAGGGTTCAAAAGAACTGACAATTTTATGCCTTTAAGGAATTTTATAATTTTTTTTAAAGATGTAATTATATTTCTTCAGCAGACAATAAAAAGAGATAAAAAAAAAAATAAGATAACACAAAAATATATTCACACTTACTTTTGTAGTTTTTTGTTTGCTTGAACGTACCTTCATCCACAGACATTTTTATAGCGTTTGTAGTTGAACATAATGTTTCCATCTTCAAATTTTCCATTTGATCTTTAATGGATTGTATAGTCTATAGGGCTGCACAGTTGAGCAGTGGGTAGCACTGATGCCTTGCAGCAAGAAGGTTCCGGGTTTGAATCCTGGCTGCATGTAGTTTGCATGTTCTCCCTGTGCATTCGTGGGTTCTCTCCGAGTACGCTGGCTTCCTCTCACAGTCCAAAAATATGACTGTTAGGTTAATTGGCTTCTTTAAATTCTCCTTAGATCTGAGTGTGTGCATGAATGCTTGTTTGTCCTGTTTGTCTCTGTGTTGACCTGCGATGGCCTGGTGACCTGTACAGGGCGGACCCCACCTCTTGCCCATAGACTGCCGGAGATAGACACCAGCACCCCTTTGACCCTAACAGTGGCTATGCCATTTTAAATCAGTGTCACAATTCACCTTGAAAACTAGATATATCCCAGCATACTTTGCGCAGAGAGCTGTCCTTGCAAAGCATTATGGGATTTGCTTTCGCAGCGGCCCACTGTTGCTACCTGACAGTGGCGATTAACAATAACAAAGATGGCGAATGTGCAGCAAGAGTTACGTGGCCAACGGGGAGCAAAAAGTAGTGATCATATATCCGAACGATCAGTTAACCGAGTTCCATATATAGTCCCTGCTTTATATATTGATTGAGGGATCTAGGGGTTATGGTGGACGTTCGGACACTGCCACAGTTTGTGAAACACACTTCACTTCTGGTTTCTTAGCAGTCCTGCCCAGGGTTCTGCTGTTACTGGAGGAATTTAATCCTATGTGACTCTCATTCTGGATTATTTTACTGTGAAATACCATTTTTGTTGATCAGTAATCTAACACAATTAGTTATCCATCTATGCATCCATCCATTGGGGACAGTTCAGTACTTCCTCCCTTGGATTTGTCTTGGAAAATCACAACTAAATTTTAGCTGCTTATTCATATGATCATAGTCAAGGCTTGGGATGGAATAGGCCATTTCCACTTAAGTAGTACTGGATGGAGCATATTGACAGACATTTTTTTTTATTTATCTTAAATCCTATATATATATATATATCTATATCTATATCTATATATAGAGATAGAGATAGAGATAGATATAGATTACATTTTTTTTTATTTATCTTAAATCCAAAATATATATATATATATCTATATAAGTTAAAAACATATATATATATATATAGATATATAGATATAGATATATAGATATATAGAGATAGATAGATAGATAGATAGATAGATAGCTAGATAGAGATATATATATTACAATTTCTGTGTAATTACAGCTCTAAGTCGGTAGCTCTGTCATCTAAAGGCATGTCTCTATACTCCATAACGATTATATGATTACTAAATTAGTCTATGTTTATTTCAATAATTGATTATTTGCGAGTAATCTGATTAATTGTTTCAGCCCTAGTCCCTTCCTTTATTTGGATGTAGTGTACATTTATCTGTTGGTCCTCTGGGAGTATCTCAAAACTAGGGGTGCACATTTACCGTATCGATTATCTTGATAAATTTCGAGTCGTGATAACAATTTTAAGTTATCATCTAAACAATAAATAGGCGTTGGAAGCGTAACCTGCCTTCTTTCTTGAACCAGGGACCCTCATGGTGCTGAAGAGTCCATATCCATGGCGTGTAGAGGAACCGTCCATCTATGAATCAGTGCGAGTTCACACCGCCATACAGACGGGTCGGACCAAAGATGATCTGGTGCCCACAGCTCCATCGGTATGACAAGTGCTTTTGTTTTTAACTTATTTGCGCCTTGTTTGGTTTAAGAAACCAGTAAGTTTCAGGAAGACTATTGTAGTTAATTTCATGTACTGTAGAACCGTATGATTAGTAAATCTAGTCATTTACTTTTGTTGAATTTACAATAACCTTCCTCATACTAATACATCAAACCTTTCACATGGAGGATTTGAAAAAGCAGGTGTGTTTATGAGGACATTCTGTTCAGCGGAACTTCTATGTTTGCATGTTCCTCATACAGCCCATGTGGAAAGATGGAGAAGTTGATTTCAGGCCGGTTTGTTACGATCCATGCTTCCCTCCTGAGATACTAAGCTTTAAGGCCAAGCAAATCTCCTGGAAGGAATAAATACAACATGTCTTTTGTTTTAGAAAAAATATTTATATGGACACTGGCTGTTTACCTGCATCAAGGTACAGCAAGGTTTCGAAAATCATGCTTTTAAAATAAAGTGTTCAACACCACATACACATTCGGCTAAAAAAACTGAATGTCTGCTGCTTGAAAGCAGGATATGTTTTCTTTTTTTGTTTACAGAAAATTTAATTCTGGCTATTTGGAAACATTTTAGGTTACAAAGAATAATAAAATTGGTGCAGAAACTAAAGGTTGAGGGTAAAATATGTCAGTTATTTATTTGTTGAAGTTATGATAAATAAGTCCTACAGACAATCAAAACCCAAAGTGTAGTGACTCAGCAATTTAAAACATAATAGAAACGTAAATGGAAACCCATGGTGTCATATCCCAATTATTTTTACTAGAATAAGAGTCAGAAAACGCTTCACTTGACAAGAAAATTGAGTTTAATTATAGGATAGAGTGCTATACACAGAGAGGCAAATATACAGTTTACATTAATGAGGTTGGGATTGACACTTTAAATTAAACAAAAGCACTTCTGGAGAGGAAGAGCACGATGTCAGATATTTAAAAACAAACAATAACAATATGAAATTTGATTAAATAGCATTAAGATTTTCTGAGATGTTTGTCTGTTTTTAACCTAAGCACTGGGCAAAACTGTCTGTAAAGAAAGGGAGCCTCTAAACAGTCTTTCAGTCTGGATTGATAGGCTATGTAATTACAGGAAATACTGCTGACTCGACAGATATCCAGAAAACTTTTATTACTACCATCAGCAAGAATGGTTGGCCAATAAAGGTCATTGCTAAAGAAGCTGGTTGTTCCTGGATGACTGTTTTTAAGCATATTCAAATAAAGTTAGGGGAATTCTATGTAAAACACTTTATACTTAGTTCTACCAATGTTTGTTGAGATGCTGGTTCCATTTTTTTCAAAAAGACCTCTGACCTGCCCCCACAGCCAAGATTAACCAAGCTGCTTCAATGACCATAGTGCATAGAAATGAACCTATTATTTGGAAGTTTAACATTTCTGTTGAAAAGAACATTTTTTATTGATCTTTTGTTTTGGTTTTTATCTACATTTATCAACACTACCAAAATGGTTAAAAAATATATCCTACTCAACAAAGGAAATTACAGTTTGAAGTGGATCTTCATTCTGCAATGAATCGTCTGTTTCATTGTTATATTTTCAGTCAAACTTCATGAAAAACAAACAGAGCCTATCAAAAACCTCACAGTTATAAAGCACAGTGGTGGAAGGCTGATGCTTTGGGCTTGTTTCACAGCCAGCTACATCTAGGGGAGCTTAGAGACATTGTATTGACTCTTAACTCCTCTTTATATTATAGGTGACTAGAGTCAAATGTGAGTCCATCATTCTATAATAACAGAGATTAAATAAAAGTAAATGAGCAATAATCCACAGCTCAGCCTGATTGAAATGAGTGAATAAAACAAACATAAGAATGATGGAGGGGGGGCACAAGGGGTGAGACTGACACAGTTAGAACCGTCTCTAAACAATAACTCACAGTAGCTGTTCTCTGTCTAAGAGCCGTTTGGATAAAGAGCTGGACTAAGGGCCGGATCTATCAAAGGTTTGCGTGTATAAAAACGTGAGCTATTTCACTGAGCACGCTAAAAAATGTACAAACTGATCTATCAACAGCGTGCTAAAAGGATTTGGTCTTTAAAACGTGCTAAATAGCGCCTCTTAACCATTTAGTACTTTTTCTGCAATGAATATGCAATATGGGGCGTTTACACGCAAAAGTGCGTCTTGTGGGGGGAGAACATGTAAATATATTAATTTAGCACTCGCAAAGGGATTTATTAAACCTGAAAGCAATTTTGCTAACGGTATCTGACTCTATATTTAACACGTTTCAAAAGAAGGTGCAAATGGTCTGTATGCGTAATTGCGCGCACACAGGCAGCGGTTATTGTCGCAAGAAGGAGACATCGAAATGAAGCAAGGAGAGGCAGAGAACGCATTTTTTCACTCCATGTGAATATTTTTGCAATGAACGAGGAAACGATCATCAAAACATATCGTTTATCCAGCATTGCCATTTTGGAGCTGTTGGGGGAACTCCGAATGGATTTGGAGCCAGCCACAAGGAGGACCCACGCAATACCAGATATCACAAAACTCCTTGCAACATTGCACTTTTTTGCATCTGGGTCATTCCAGCGTACGGTTGCAGTGAGAGCTGGGATCTCCCAATCTCGTTTTTTCAGAAGTGCTGTCCGACAGGGTCGGGGTTCTCCCCCTGCGCCTGTGGAGCAATGTGCCAAATGCGTATGCGTACGCGCAGCACACATATTCAGCCACATACCACCTTAGGGAATAAAGGTTGCCAAAGTGTTTTATTTATATATATATATATATATATATATATATATATATATATATATATATATAAATAAATATAAAAAACGCGCAAAACCATAATTTAAATAGGGCGTCTCCAACAGTTTTGCACCTGCCACCAGTTACGCAATCACTCTTGTTAAATCACCCGCAAACCATGGTTCAGCCCCTCGCGCAAAATTCCAGTTTGCGAGCGCAAATTACTGCACACAAAATTGGATCTTGATAAATCCGGCCCTTGGTGTTTTCCATGATGGCAACTAAAAGGTCAGGAAACATGGAAAGGATGATTAACGTAAAATTTATTTTTATAGAAAAGGGGTGATGAATGTGACCATCCTATGTATGTCTTTCTATCAGGATAAACAATAATTGTACTCTACAGCAAAGTTGACAAATTGCACCCATCAGAATTCATTCCTATCCTGATTAGTAATTTTTTTGTTATATTTCCATCACTTCTGTTGTGTTTTATTTGTTGCCTTTCAACTGATGCAGTATATCATTACAGCTGGGCACTAAGGAGGGCTATCTCGTGAAACAAGGAGCATTTGTGAGGGTAAGAACTTTGGTCTCATCTCCACGTACTACACGTTGGATTATTCAGCAGTTGTCAGGAAATCTGCAATAACCAACTAACATTGTGCTTAATAGAATATTATGTTTTTTTGTAGAGCTGGAAACAAAGGTGGTTCACTCTCCACAGATATGAACTTAAGTACTTTAAAGATAAAATGGTGAGTATCTTGAAAATTGGGCGAAATAACTTTGATAAAACAATATGTGCAATCTATTGGTTAATGTATTCCTGTTAATATGTAATCAGTTACTTATTTCCTTGTTGCAGTGTGAGGAGCCTATTCGAACGTTGGATTTAAGATCCTGTACTGCAGTCCAGTTCGACTATTCTCAGGACAGGGTCAACTGCTTCTGGTAGGTGACTTTCAAAGTTGGTAGGAATCTGTTGCAAAGTTCTTCATTCCTGAATAGATTTTACTTCTATTTGTTCACTTGTATATTAAGTGAGTCAAACAGATTATCCAGAGAAGTGACCTAATTCTTTTAAGAGTTTTTCTGCAGAGCCACTCTCATGCCTCTGTAGAATCAATTAACAAGACATGATGCAAGATATTTTTTTTTAGGGGGGGGTAAACTGGAAGCCTTTAAAAAACAAACTCAGATTTTTTTTTTCAGTCTACAAAAGATAGAACTGTTAGCCATCAGCTTTTACTTTGTCACCTTTATCGTTTGTTTGTTTAATCGTAAAAAAAAAAAAAAAAAATGCTTTCTTCTTTCAACTCTCCTCCCTGCCATGTGTTTGTCCTGGTTTCCTGTCCTCAGATCTCATCTCTTACCTTACTCCCACTTAAACCCCTAAAAACCTTTAGATAACCACAATGATATGAAAATTGCATATGAATACCCACTCATGGCGTAATTTCCCCTGGAAAGCTGAGAAAATTACCTGAGTTGCCGAGACGACCTTTCAACATGGCAGAGAGCAGAGAAACGATTCTGTATAATGCAAACTTGCATCATTTTTGAAATGACCATTATTGTTTGATTTTATCAGACGCTCGCAGTCAGTCAATGCATTTGATGCATCTTCTTCCTGTAGCAGATGAATTAGGAAGTCTATCTTGCCCAAGCAGCAGGTCAGGATAATTTTTGGATCCAACAGGTTTCTCTTTTCTACCACAACAAAAGCACTTGAACACAATCCGCTGGTAATTTTCACTTTACAAGTTGAAAATATAATCTTTACTAGACCGCATGAAAGCAGCATCAAATTAAAGGGGAAAAGTTTGACTTGAAAATAAGATCGACAACAAAAAGCCAAAACAAAAAGAGGAAGTTAATAGGATAGAAGATAAGCTGACAATTGAGCGAGGAAGAGGAGAGGATACATACAGAACCTAAAGCAATAATTAGATAGAGGCATGAAAAAGAAGGCAGAACTTATAAATGGACTAAATACTTCAGATAGAAACAAACTGCAGGTTTCTAATTCTGTTAATTCTTAAATGTGTTATTTTTATGTTGCAGCAAAAATTGAACACAACTGTTTCTTAAAGCTGAGTCCTTTTTAAGTAACATTGGATGTTTCTATGTTCCCCAGTCTGGTGTTTCCTGAGCGAACCTTCTACCTCTGTGCAAAATCTGGAGTTGAGGCGGACGAATGGATTAAGATTCTTCAGTGGAAACTGGTTAGTTTCATAAGACTGATTCACATTGCAGATTTAATCTGCTGTACAATTGAAAACCACAGAAAAAAATAGCTACTGGTTGCTGTAAAACAAATAAAATAAAACTGTGTTGTGAATTTGGCGCTATATAAATAAACTGAATTGAATTGAATTGAAAAGATTACCACCTATTGAAAAAGAAGGGAAATAAAATGTGAACTCCTTATGATTTATAAATCTCTCATGTACCCCATAGAAGGGTTAGATATTTACCAATCAATAGGTTTTTCATAGTTTTTAAAGAGATGAAGGAAAAGACCAAGATTAAGCAGAGGAGGGAAAGTTGACCATTACAACATTGCATTTGGGTCTTAAAACTAAATGCTTATGTAACATAAACCCACTTCCTCATTACTGAAATAAGATTTCCTCACTTGCTAAGTCTTTTCTTTGCTGTTTTACAAAAACAAAAGGAAATGTGAAAAAACCAGCTGAACGCTTCAAACCATGACTGTTTTTTTTAAGCCCAGAATTCTCAAATCAGCTTCTGCTGCCTTTGTTTTTTTCTTGCAGTCACAGATAAGAAAAGGAAGGTGACAATCATCCACGGAGACAAAGGAAAACACCTCCACCCTCTGACAGATACCACCATACCTGAAGGAATGAAGCAGATCTGGAATACGTTTCACAACAAATGATTAGTTTTCAGTAAACTGCCTTTAGGCATCAACTCATCCAAGGATTCTGACAGTTCTCTAAAGTTTCTGGACTATGCTGTGTGAAGAGCAGCAATGCACAGAAGAAAAGCATATTTAAAAACTCAACTATGTTGAATGTAAATAATGAACTTTATATCTGACACTTAAGATGTGAATTTCTAATGCAGTCAGTTTTGAAGGACACCCTGCAGTGCAAGATGGGACAGTTGTGACAGACTTGTAGCTTTGGTGATTGTAGCAGAGCATTACAATCAGAACCAATACAAAACACGTACCCGACTGGAAGATCGAGTAAAAACTTGTGAAATTTTGAAATGAATTAATAATAGCCATAGTGTTTGCGGTACCTCTATCGTTATTCTGACTTTTTAAAAGACAAGTTGTGATATTTCTTTCTTTTGTTTTACCTTTTATTTTTCATTGTGTTCATAATATCCACTTATTTAAACATCAATGTGATAAACTGGATGGTAAAATGGTTGAAGTATTTGGGTGTGAAACATTAATATTAATATGAAACAGGAATTTTTATCTCGAATTCATCTCACAGTATGATATTTTTAGTATTGATACCTATATTTTAATCATTTCTACAATAAATGTTATAAATTATTTCAATTACGGTATATTTAAATATGGTACGTTTAAGTACAGCTCTATAGCATAGTGTGACATTTAATATCTAATTATTAAGAAATGGTTTAAGGGTGGCATGATAGTAGTGTACAATATATCTGACTATGTAATATAACATTAAAAGATTAATTTTCATTGTACCAGGTAGAACAAAATGATGTTTAAGACTCAAGTAGAATATTTGGCAAACATTATGAAATGTTTTAGCATAAAAGTTAAGACACCTTATACAGTGTGATGTTAGTATGATGTGCTAAAGTATGCAAAATATGGTATGGCTAATTATGTTACTATGACAGTATCATATAAAATATGTTTGGAAAAGTAATACAGTATGACCTGTTGTATTGAAAAAAATAGTATAGTTTGACATTTTTTTTTTCAATGTATGAACATTTGAATAAAGCCTTTTTTACAATAGCAGTAGTTTTATATGGCCTATGAAACTATTTTCATATGTATGGTAGTAGTACAAGTATAGATTATTGTAGCGTCACAAACCTCCAGGATAAATTGGAAGAAGACGATTACGAGTGTGACAAACATAAATGTAAAGCCGAATATAGTATAGTAATTTTTTTACAATGACAGTGCAGTGTGTTATATTAATGACAGTGAAAAATGTAAAAAAATATATATATATATCAGTGTAGTATGAGCGAGTTCACAGTGGAAGCATAGTATGACATACATTGGGACAGCATTGTTTATATGCTATGATGATATCTTCAATATTACATCTACTATTAAATATAAAGTAGTATATTAGGACCAGTATACTAAATAGTATACTAAGTATAGTATACTATTAAACAATGTAGTACAACCAGATTTAAAAGGTCTCCAACTTTTGGTCCAATACACTATCTGACAGTAGGACAAATGTTAAAGTCTGACAGTTGGATATAAAATAATAACCAGTAGTGTGGGCAGTTTTAGTATAACCAATGTACTGCGATAAAAGCACAGTATGACATACAGTGGTTTAACATGACACAATTATAGTATAACCAAATTTGTGAGTGATATAGTATGGCATATGTTAATATGGCATGTGATAGTTGTAGGTATTTGAAAATGTGACAGCATTGATTGACACCATGTTCTTTGAAGATTTTGAAAATACTAATTAAGTAATTATTAAGTTTTTGTCTCCAAGACTTTATTTATTTATTTATTTTTTTACTGCAAGAGTTATATCAGGTGTGATCATGATGATCACACCGGCATTAACATATTTGGCTGTGGCTCATAATAAAGCATTAACATATATTCCGTAAAAGTTCAAAAAATATCCACTGGACTTGGTTTCCAAGATTTGAAGACATTTCGCCACCTCTCCAGGAAGCTTTCTCAATTGCAAAAGCTTCCTGGAGAGGTGGCGAAACGTCTTCAAATCTTGGAAACCAAGTCCAGTGGATATTTTTTGAACTTTTACGGAATGACTATGACCTGGATGACTGAGAATCTTAATCAGCATTATCATATATATATGTTAGTATAACACATGGTGTGTTATATGTTAGTGTAAATCAGTGGGGAGCATGAAAAAAGAATTTTACAAATCATAGTACATACTATTGCCAAAAGTATTCACTCATCTGACTTAAGTCACATATGAGCTTAAGTGCCATCCCATTCCTAATGCATTGGGGTTCAATATGACATTGTTCCATCCTTTGCAGCTAGAACAGCTTCATCTCTTCTAGGTTCCACACCAGAATTCACTGAGCTTGTGGGAGCGCCTCATTCTCTCACAAATGATTGTAAAAACATTCTGCATGCATAGGTGCTTGATTATACACAACCGTGGCCATGGAATTGATTGGAAGATGTTATTCCAATCATTTGGAACAATGTACAAATCTGTAATTTTCTCTGGCCAGCGTTCTAATCTGACCAAGGATGACAGCCTTAGCTACATGTTCTGAAAAATGTGGGCTTTGTTGTTGATTGTTGAACTTCTTTGAAAAAACCTGGTCTGATTTGCAAAGATTACAGCGTCTCACAATAAAGCTGCCAAACTCACACAAAGCTGCAGCTCTGTTTTTCAGCATTAATGACTTAATTAGATATTTTTCAAGATTGATTCTATACAAAATAAGATCATTGGCACCGTTTCAATATATTCATTTATTCCTTAGAAAGTGAGGCAGCAATGGAGGCAACTATTGAACCTGAGCTGTTGGGACCGTTTTGATCTAGAGCCTTCTGAGTTATGAAAATCTTCAGGTTATTTAAGTAGTAAGCATTCCTTATGATTTTCACCTCAATTTTAGATATAATAAATCTATTACAAATACTGGGATATGTATCACAACCTGTTAAGGTAGCTGTAATTTAACCTTTACTCAAGAAACTTCTTGATTTTAATGACATGATCATTTATAGATCTTAATCTAATCTTCTTTTTGGTATCCAAAATTCTTGTGTGTGACCAGTTACACCATAGTGATCTTTTTAAAGAGTCCTAGTCAGGTTTTAGAGCTCATTATAGCACTGAAACAGCACTGCTGGAAGTCACTAACGATGTTCTCATGGCCTCGGATAATATACTTGTTTCCTTATTGTCCTTTTAAAGCTGTGCAGCCTTTGATAAAGTTTATCACAGTACTTTTTTTACAAAGGCTTGGACATTTTTGCATGAATTAAGGGAACTGCACTAGGCTGGTTTAAATCGCATTTATCTCACAGATTTCTGTTGGTTTATGTACATGATAGGAAGTGCTGCAAGAGCCAGTTTTTCTGCTGGTGGAATGATCACATAGCATGGGATTCATTTCTACTTTTATACTGATGTTACTCAGCTATACTGCATGTCTATAAAACCTCAGGAAACGAATAAATTACAAATACCAAAGGCATTTATTGATATAAAACCCTGGATTATTTTAAATCTTCTTTGTATGCATTCAGACCAGACAGAGTTCATTATCTGGACCAGAGTCATTGGAAAAACAAGCTGATAAGGAAATAAATGTTATCTGGCACTAAATTGGCCTCTAATAAAAAGTTAAAAATATCTTGGTATTATTTTTGATAAGCACTTGTTATTTAAATCTCATATTAAATAGGTTTCTCAATAACTGATCCATGGTGTAAACTATTGTATGACATGCTCCCAGTGGCACATGCTGTGTTGCATTGTGACCAGTTAACATGATTAACTTTGCTACCCCAAGTGTAAACCATGCATTGTCCTCTGTCCATCTTCTTGACATTACTTCAGTTCACGGTGCTTTGCAGACAAAGAGTGAAATATACATGCATGAATACCTCAATGAAAAAAAGGGGCTAACACACGTCGGCTGTGAGAAATCAAGTGTCTTTATTTAGACTTTGACCCAACACAAGAATAATGAAACCAAGACCAACAAAGCAAGAAGTCTAATAAACTGATTCATTGCAACATTGCACAAACAGCTTAACAAAAAGATAGGAATATGGTGAATTTGAAGTAATCTGGGGAAATCTGCTGCTAGTCAAACGCTCATGTCACCTCCACCACCTGCCTCAGATCCTCTATTAGTGGAGCCAACTCCTTCTCCAGACCCATGATGAGACCTGAGGATACAGAAATACAAAACTTTAGAGATTAGATTCTTTTTATCAGCCAAGTCACTGGAAAGTCATCTTTGGTTCTTCTACACAAGTCAAAACATTACAAAAAATAACAATACAGGTACAAAAAGCTCATGACTAAAACAAATATTTTCAAATGCTGCACTCCTCTCTCATGCTTTATAGCTCTTGTTCAAAAGGCTGACTGGATTAAGCATAAACGAACCCTTTTGCACATTTTAGCCAATCGCCTTCCCTGCATATGTTTACAATTCTGTGCAGCTCTTTTTTTTTTTTTATCTTCCACTTTGAGGTAAAAAAAAAAAAAAAATACACAGGTTGTGTCCAAACTAACCCCTAAATCCCTCAATCACTATATAAAGTGAGGACTATATAGTGGACTTCATAGCGAACTCCATTAATTGACAATTCGGACAGATAACTGCTTTTTGCTCCCCGTTGGTTACATAACTCCGCCTTCCTGCATGGTGCCTGCGCCATCTGTTATCAACAGGCCGCTGTGACAATAAAACCCATGATGCTTTGTGAAGAGAGCTACCCTCGCAAACCATTCTAGTATATATCTGCTTGTCTAGTGACCATGGATGATCACTACTTTTCAAGGTGCATTGTGGGAAATTTCAAGTCCACTCATTTTTCATCCACTAGACATTTGAACAATCATCTAACTATATAGTGCCCTATATAGTGGTTAGGGCGGACACTCGGACACAGCTACAGTTATATTGAAAATGACAACACTTTCCATTAAAAATTGACAGATTTTCTCAAAACTCTGAGCTCACTCCAAAACCCCTGAACTTCCTGATCACAAACAGTTTTGACTGATTTCTCTTATAACACATCCACATTCAACTAGACATTGAGCCTGTAATCAATGTGCGTACCTGACTTCTTGAAGCTCCTAATCACCTCAACCGGTCGGTTGAGAAATAGACAAGGACTGAACAGAACCAGATCTACTCTTTGGTCTTATCTGCATCATGCACCACTTTTCAAGCAG